TGTTGTGGCAATAAGGGACATTTCGCCGTAATTGCTGTGCTATACCTATAAGGGCAGCACAGCCATTATCTGTCCCTTCAGCTAAACCTGACAGTCCTTCTATTAAGTGTCGACGAGAGTATGACTGGAATAATTAGTGTAGATCTACAACAGTTGGGAAAGGTCAGCCCTTCCTGGAGAACTCCTACTGGAGCCTGCCTCAGCCCCACCGAACAATAGGGGCTGCCCAGATGGATGTAATGGGGGACCAAGTGCTGAGTCCATTCAGGTATCCCGCACGCACCCCCTGCTCCTATCCCTTTTCCTACCCACTGGATGCCAAGGCTGCCGATGCCTGGCAGCTCTGCCACAGGGGCCACCCTCCTGCCTCATTCTCCTCCGCCACACTCCTGTCATATCTGAGCCCAGGCTTTGATCCGTGCCCACAAAGGCCCAGCTGCTGTGATGTGGGTGTGCAAGTGAAACCGCAGTGTGACGCTTCAGTTCAGTGTACACTCGGGTGGCAGGTGCTGCTGTGCAGGGCCCAGGACTGCGGAACCCCAGCCGGCCCCGCTCACTTCCCACGCGCTCTCTGCCTCACCGACTGCCTGGAGGAGGCCCCAGCGGGCACGCAGGGTCCTGTGGCACCAGAGGAGTACAGGGGGGCAGCAAGGAAGGCATCCCCACTGCCAAGGGCCAAGCAGGAGCAGCAGGAGACTCAAACTAGTGAAGCGGTTCCACAGCCCATGCTGCAGAGGCCAAAGTGGCCCCTGGCAGCAGGGAAGGCTGGGGATGCCAGGGATGCGACCACCACTGTGCAGGAGAGGCTGCCGCTGGGTGCTGAGCCAGGCAAAGAGCGCCTGCGCTTCAGGCAAAGCTATGGCTATTATCACTGCAAAGACTGCAGCATTCGCTGGGAGAGTGCATACGTATGGTGTGTCCCGGGTACAAACAAGGTTTACTTTAAACGGTTTTGCAGAACATGTCAGAAACCTTACCACCCTTACCGAGTGGAGGATGTCACCTGTCACATTTGTAAAAGAACTAGATGTTCCTGCTCAGTAAGACTTCGCCGTGCGGGCCCCACACACTCCCATTGTCAAGACCTGTGTGAGATGCAGGGGCAGGCGCCTGTCCTGTGCCGGCGCTGGTACTTGGAATCCAGACAGAGACAAAATATGTGGTGGCCAGAATGCACAGAGGCTGGGCACAGAGTGGTCCCCTGTAGCTACAGAGGCAGTAACCACAGAGCTGCTTGTGGCAGGTACCCAGGCAGGGGACCCCATTCCTGAAAATAAAACAGGACTGTTGGGGCCCTGCCAGCAACTTGCTGGACTCCAATGTGATAAAACAGAAGCTGCAGCCAGGTACTGCCAGAGCCTGAAGTGTCAGCGCTTCCAGGCCGTGTTGGGGGCTGCCCGCTCCTCGGCAGCCACGCCCTCCCGCCTCGCTGCTGCCGGCCGCTCCTATTCCCCTACCCACAGTGACTTTCCTCCAGCTCGCTGCTGCTCTGGTCCAGGTGCTGCAGGACACTGGGGTGCCAGATAGAACGGGGAACAACGAGGCCAAGGCCAAGGGCAGAGATGGAGGAGGCTGCCCAGGGAGTAGCTGGCAAAAGACTGAAGCTAGATGGGCACGAAGAGGGGGACAAGGATGGAGCTGAGGAGCTGTGGGGACATGCAGGGGACCTCAGTCAAAAAGCAAAGGGGGAGACAGTTGCAGAGGCTGCAAGGCAGCACAGGACTGGGGCGTGAACAGTTCGACAGCCAGGGGAACCGCCAGTGGTGGCTAGCCAGTGCTCAGGCCCCAGGGAGGAAGGACAGGGTCACCCAACGCTGGCCCAGCCGTGCCAGGGCCATACTAGCTGGCGCTGCACCCTAAGGCACCACACATGGCAAGGGTGGCGGCAGGGCCAGGAGCGCGACACGGGGGCTGAGTGGCTGGTGACCGAGGCCCGAGTGACCCAGAAGCTGGTGAGACCTGGCAGCAAGAACAGGGAGCAGGGAGCCAGGGCCGAGCCCCTCGTGACCTTTGTGGCAAGCGTCTCCGAGATAGAGGGGACGCTCAGTCACCCCGCTGCGGGACACACAAGGCCTGTTCCCTGAGCTGCATGGCTTCCTGCAGGACTTCGTGCCCCAGGCGCTACTCCAGATAATAAAGCAACGAGCTACTGCTTAGGATTGACACTTGCCAAGGAGTGTCCATGTGTGAGTGTTTTACTCTCCTCACACAATGGCTCTGGCCAGTAGCAAAGTGGGAGATTTCCTCTGGCATCAACCTGATCCTGCAATTAGAGTGCATCTTATGGATAGACGCACATTTTATGTTTTGGAATTTTAGAGGTAATTAATTAGCTAGCCAAACTAAAGTTGAATGATCTTTTTCAAGTACAACCCAAGTGTCTCTGTGGGTCTACTCCTAGACATGGCACTGATCCTTTTAAGAGGGATCCTAAAAATGTCCGATAATTGACTTCTTTCAGTGTGTACGGAAGTAACAATTACAACAGATTATTATTTGGGACAGGTTTCAGAAATCACAGAGAGCAGCCACATTGTCCTGATGCTTGCTGACGATATGGCCTGCAATCCTAGAAATCACAAACCAGCTACCAAGTTTAATTACAAGTATATGGAACTGAATGCATACAGAGATGACATAAAACTGGATTGTGATGATTGTAGAAGCTATGAGGTGACCATGAAAGAATTTTATACAAAGAATATATATATTCATTATAGATTAAGGATTGTATTCTATCTGAAATTTTTGATGAGATCTCTTTTAATTGATGAACAAAATCTGACTAGACTATTTACTATTATAAATTTCAAAAAATTGTAAGTTACTATAACTTGAACTAGAATATATTTGAGTGCACACTGATTTTCTAAGATGTTTGTATGTTTTGTGTTATGTGTTTGTCTGCCATTTTGTGAACAGCTGTTCCCCTTTATTTTGAGCTCAACCATTTTTTTATCAACTGTCTGTAATACAATTGGGATTACAGACTTAAAAGCATGCTTTCTTCTGAGTTACCAGCTGATTTAAAAAATTGGCTTTCTTGCAGGTGATCAAAAAATTAAAGATACTTAACCATAATTCTTTAGGAAGAAATTACTGGGCAAAACTCCAATTGGTGAATAAAGCGGTGGCCAACCTTTATCCATTAATAGGGAGCCTCCAGTGATCTCCAGCATCTCTTGGGAGATACCCCCAATAATTAGGTCATGGTTAAAAGTGTTCCAGAAAAAGTAAAAAATAAGGTGTTCTCATGAAAGATGTTCTTAGTACAACACTAAAGAAACACAGGTTTTCATATGTGTATGGTAATTTATTATTTGTTAATTTCATAGTGTATTGGAATGTATTCATGATTTCGGATGTACAGGTCTTCAAAATGTAAAGCAAGGGTTGCTTATGATTAGACTTTTTGTTCAGATTCAGACCTTTGCCTTTAAAAACTTATATATATCTCATTAAAGGACAACAGATTAGGTAAAAGCTTATGTATTAGAGATGATTGGTTGAAAGGGTTATGTCAAAATGAAAATTTAGGTATGTTACAAAATGTCATGATTGTCATGTGGCAATGTTATGTATGGATTTGGTTTCTAACTTCAATGTACAAATAGGTAACTTATCTGTTAACATTCTATAGGGATTTAAATGATAGGATATCCATGATTGTACTTGAACTTGGGTTGTACTTGAACCTCAACTTGGGTTGAGACTTGGGTTGTACTTGAACCATGTACTAGATCCATGGATCTAGAGCTGTTGTGCGTGGTTCCAAAGCAACCCTGAGGAGACTTAACTGACCCTGATGGACAGGAAGAAAGGATTAATATGGGTTTCGCCTTAACTTGGTCTTAAACATCCAGCAGAAACGCATAACCACAAGATGTATAAATATGCATTGCCATAGCAATATGTTAGCCATAAAGGGTTCAAGTCACCAACAATTTCGGACATTTTGCCAACTAGACTGGCAACCGACTACTCTTAGGGATGCTGGGATTGTATTCTCCAAGCATAGCCTTTCCAGCTAATCGCCCAACATTTACAAAGCAGAGAAGAGAGAGATGTCAGGAGCCATGGAAGCTGGAAAGTAATTACACATGCAGGACGAAGCCAGCAGGAGAACATGGGAGCCCTGAGAACACAGGAGCTTCTCGAAATGTAAACAAGCCATTGTAGCTTGTTAACTGATTGCTGGACAACGAGGTGAAAATTAACCAACCTCTCGAGGGTATAAAGAAATGCTCTACTGTTCTTGGGCAGTTCCCCTTCTCTGCTGAGCGAGAGGACCTCTACCTAATCCTAGCTTTTTTCTCTTGTCTATTTTTTCCTCATTCTTGCCGCCGTTCCTTCCCGGGGTACGGCAAGAACCCAATGGATCCCTAAAGCCCCACGAAGAAGAAAGCATGAGCATGAATACAAGTAGTAAAGTGGAAGAAAAGTATGCACAGATACATCCAATTCATGAAATAGTGAAAAATAAATATCAATGAAGGTGGGTTTCCTGGTAATCAAGGAAATACAAATTAAAAGAAAGAGCTACTATTTCACAGCTCTCCAAGTGGAAAATTTATAAATTCTCATACAACTAAGTTTAGGTGTGAACATCAGAATTCGCTCACACTGCTGCTGGGATTGCAAACTTACACACCACTTTGGAGAGCAATGTAACACCTAAATTCACAGAATATAAAGATGCTGCTCGCTCCCTGAGATTCCAGTTTTTTAGCCATGTATCCAGAATATCATATTTGCATGAGGAAGAATGATAAAAAATGTACACATGTAGCACTGTTCACAGTGGCATAAAATAACAAAGCAAAGCTGGTAAATAAACTGGTACACGAGTATGGTAGTAAATAGCAGTTAAGTGAAGAAGCAAATTACACAGGATTACATACATAAGATATAACGACTAAAAATTGGAAGAGGAAGGTATCTCCCGCGCCACCTTGTGAACAGGTTAGCTCTAAGGAGGGAAGGAGGAGAAGAGCACCAAGGAAGAGTACAAAAGAGTAACATTTTATTTCTTTAAAAATCAGAAGCAAATACAGCAACATAGTAGGTGAACAGTACAAGGGAATTTATATTTTTCACATATTTGAAGTATTTTGTAATTGAATGAATTTTAATGGGCACATATGGCTAACAGTAAAAAATAACATTATTGACACAACAAAAATGTATCAGGTAACAACATATTTAAGTTTCAGAAACATGTACATACATTAGTGCATGAGATAAGAATCAAAAATAGATTTTTAAAACTGCAATTTACTTGGGGTTTTGTAATGAGCTTTAAATCTCATGCAGTTTTAAATGCCTTACACTAAAATTTTAAAGGCTGCTACCCTTTTTGTTAGAGTTATTAAAGCTAGATAAATAAAGCTTTAATGTGGCATGGTCAATTTCAGTCTTATTTTAGAAAGCTTTTTCTTTAGCATATAAATAGTAACAAGCTTTACAATTATACTTACAAGTCTTAAATGTATTAAGAGTCCTAAGTATGAAGAGTAGTTAATAACTATAATTACTTACAGTGTTTTATCAAGAACCTGATGTCTTATTTTACTGTGGGAAAACAATGCTCTATTATTCCCTTTTCTTTTCTACTTAGGGTTTGAATCAGAAGCCAAGTACTAATATTTGGAAAGGTTATAAGTGAAGTTTTATTATAAAACCTCTTTTAAAGGAAAAGTATGGAATTTTCAAAAGGGAGCACAACAATCCTTTGGGATCACTATGTCAGAGACACAGAAAGATGGAGAGTATTTTACGAAAAGGGCTAAGAAGAGGTAGTAGAATTTTGCTCTATGTACTTCATTTACTGACTCTTTGGACTTCAAGACTAGAAGATAATATTTCCAAGGAAAATTTAGGAGGCAAACGAGTGGATAGGGCACTGCACCTATCAACACAACTCAAGAGATCTCTAACTCGCATGTAATATTTCACTCTCAACTAAAATCTTCTGACCACATTCATACCAATTCATTAATAGTCATTTTACCCAGCTGATGGTAACAATAATTTTATTTAACATGAGTTGCTCTGTGTCAATTAAACATTTGCAACACAGATGAATAGCTGATCTCTTAATTAGCCTAATTGTATTAGATAATGTTATTTCCCATGAAATGGAAGACTGTAATAAAATTACTCTAGGTTCCAAAGGAAGGATTCTTATACTTAATTTCACTTAGTAATAATATCCTTGTCTTTCATTTCTCAAGGATAAAGAATATTAGCTCCTGCAAGTCCCTTATGTAGTGTGACTCTGGCTAGTAGTAGTGAAATTTGCTTACAAAGTGAAAAGCCTCCTACAATATTTCTAAATGCTGATTTTTCCACCAATCCTTAAGTTTCAGTAGTAGTTATTAAACAGTCCAGTTACTATATCTCTTAAATGCCCAATATATAAAGACTCAAACTGAGCAATAAATTCATTTTCAAATTCACAACTCCAACTCCACTAATACATGGAAATAATTTCTCCATAACAAAAGGTCAGTGTCATAAATTTAATTTTCTGAATTTTACAACCCTTAATAAATGGAGGCACCTTAAAGTTCAGTTTACATTCTTTTATATAGGATTTCAGAGCATGCTTCAAAGAGCTTAAGATAAGCTACACTGATAGCTTAATGTCATTTTTATCATTAAAATCATCTACGAAAATCAGAACACTACTAATTCTGCAGTTATAACTAATAAATAAGCCTTAAAATATCTGTAGATGTACATCAACTCTCTCAATCATTGCCTCATACATGGACTATTCTAGAAAACAGATCAATAAATGATGGATTTATAAGTACAGCATCTTCAGAAATTTCAATTCTATAATTTAGGGTTTTTCATATTTTTAAATATACAAAGAGATTAAACCATTAATATAAATACTTCTCAGATATGTAATATTCTTTTGTAAAAGAAAATGTTTCCAAACATTTACAAAGCAATCTGAAGATAGGTAGACCTGATTTTTGCGATCATTACATTAACCAAAATAATTTTCCAGAGAAGGTCCTACTTAAAGGTAATGGTCACTGGCTTCTTCAAGTCAACACTTTCAGATGGATCCAAATCCCATCAATGCCTTTGCTTGATTTATTTCAGGGATTACTTCCAATGGAAAAAAACTCAGAAAAATGTCTCACGACAGAGTGGACAAGTGGATTTGTTGCTAGAGGTAAACCATTTGTACTGAAAAAGAAAAGGTTTTAAATGTTAAAAGAGTCCCTTAAAGCTAACATTTTTGCATCCTCATGTACCTTCTTTTTTTTTTTTTTTTTTTTGGTTTTTCTCTGGTACCGGGAACCGAACTCACGACCTTGCACTTGCCAGGGAGGCGCTTTGCTGCTGAGCTAAATCCCCAGCCCCTTTTTCAGTTTTTCTTTTTTTTTTTTGATCCTCATGTACCTTCCAAATAAACATAACTATCACTTCTAACAATTACACCATAATTCTTTCTACCAAGAGAATCCACTACAGTACAAGACCTTCTGAAGCAGCAGTGTTATAGTGTGTGTCTGAATGTCCCCCCAAAGCCTCATGCAGTCATGGGGCGGGCTTTTAGAGTTCATGATTGATCCGTGATCCAATGCTGGGATTATGGGTGTGGGTGCTACATCCGCCCTGGGGCTGAGAGTGTGCATATGTAAGGGAAGGAAAGAGGCTGCTCTCCGCCACTCCTCTCTTTTTTCCTCTTGCTGCTTTTTGCTATCTTCTACTGCCATGAACTGTTGCCCTCTGCCATGTGCCAGCCTGCCTTGGAGCCAGCCAAGTATGGACTAAAACCTCCACAGACTGTGAGGTAAATAAACCTTTCCTTCCTTAATTCTGGGCATCAGGTATTTTGTCTCAGCAATGACAGAAAAGTAACCAAGACAAGCAAACACAGGGCAATATCCTTTTTCGCGTATGATGTTTAAAAAGAGCAAAGGGCTGGGAGGTGCAATGGCACTGCTGTTGGATCTTGTGGCCGCTGTCAGGTCTAGCTCTCCCAAGAGCATCTGTTCCTTAACGGCTGGCAGTTCTACTAGAAACACCTACTTCTTAAAGTGCTTTGATGCTGCCAGTCTGCGTAAATTATGGATTACCTTTTGCGTATTTTAAAAGTTCACTTTTTAATGTCTCCCACTGATTACAACTAAGAAATTAAAAGTACAAAATGCACCATTTTCTAAAATTGGGTATTTTATATATATATAAAATACAAAAAATATAAGGCAGTTAATTTCTCTTTAGACTTACCAAGCAAGCTGAATGGAACTTTTTCTTGCATGTTCTACAGGCTTTTTTGGGGAGAGAATAGTTGAAACCATGAATGACTGAGAAACAGATCATGCAGTCTTCAACGCCCTCAAAGCGTTTGTCCACATTGTTTTTCCACAACGCTAAGCCTTCCATAATACTTCCATTCTGTTAACAGAAAGAAAAAGGAAAGATTCACTACACACATTCACAAAGTTTAAATCTGAATTATAACTGCAAGAGAACCTGCTTGGTCATATTTGCATCTCTTAAGTTTTATCAATGTTGCCTTTTTAAATTAATGTTCAAAGGAATGGATGTAATTTTTCTCCATTAACAGCTTCTGAGCTAATACTTCAAGTCTTACAGTCTTAGCTTCTTTGGTAAGAATCTTTTAATAATTAAGCCACTCAGATGAGCTATAATTTTTAACTAAAAATAATGAAATTAGCTTTTCAACTGATTTGCTCCACCTCCACAGTACTGGTGAAGATACTTGTCTAAAAATAATTTTCCTTTACTGTAGAATGCCTAAGATATCTCATAATTTACAAACACCACTGCAGAACACTTATAATTTGTTTAAAAGTCAAAAATCAGAGTCCTGGAACTTTTCTAATCCAAGGAGAGTTGAAATGCCAGAGTAGAGCTTGGACAGCACTCATTAGTCCGGTATCTTGCAGGATTTTCTTTTAAATAACTTCGTTATTACCACGTATTTGATCTACACTTTCTACAATGTCAGTGAAATAAAGTCACACCCTCTCATACACCAAAAAATAAATTAGGAAGCCTTGAATTTTAAAGAGACAGGTACCAGTTAGGCACATGATGTTTACAGAAGAATTTTATTGGATTTTAGTTTATTATTTCCATCTCAAGCAGAAGAGACACAGGCTGTGTTCAAATGCTCTCTGAAACCCTCGTGTCCCGCTGGCTTGGGAACTAACTGTGTCAGCAAACATGTACCTGATGCGTGAGGTAAGTGCTCAACTGCAGCATCCAGTTCCGCCACTGCTGGACGGCCACGCCCACTCTCTTCCCGCTCTCCACTGATATTGACCCCAGCGGATAATTTGAAGGCAGCTGTATTATAAGCTCAATGACAATGTCCTCAATAGTATAAGTAGCCATTACTTCTCGAGTAGTAGCTCGAGCTTTAACCTACAACAGAAGACAGGTAATTGTCTCAAATTCTTTTCTTTCATTCAAAACACATTTTGACAGATAGACTATCCTAGGTAGCTTCATAACAGAAAAAAGCAGGTAAGACATTTATTAAATAGGTTTAAAGTCCGGTGCGGTGGCACACGCCTGTAATCCCAGCACTCGGGAGGCTGAGGCAGGAGGATCATTGCAAGTTCGGGACCAGCCTGGGCTACAAAGTGAGCTCAAGGCCAGCCTGAACTGCATAGCGAGACCCTGTCTCCAAAAAGACCAAAAAATAAATAAATACATAAACAGGTTTAAATACTTGGCATGTTTTAGAGTGATCTGTGACATTTAAAACAAACATACTTCTTACAAAAAAGCAGGCTAACATACCAGGTTTGTCACAGTCATGGGTTTGTTTTTGAACAGACAAATGACACTAAGAGTACTAGCTATCACTCCTCTGTCTTTCTCGTCACACAAGAATCAGACAATAAAATGGCCAAATTTCTATAATTTTGAATCAAGGGCAACCATTTTTTGTGATGAAACTGAAAATGACAGATTTAATCAATATTTCAACAACTCTTTTAGAAAAAGCCAAGACAATACTAACCGTCATGCCATTGAATAGCTGTGTACTTGTCTGCACGGAAGATATTTCTTGAAAAGAAAGGACATTGCTGACATACTTGCTTGTAAATCTATCTACAATATTGAAAACACGCTTCTCACTGCTGTTCCACCACAGCCTAACCATGGCGGGCAGATCTTTTAATGTCATGTGATACACTGAACACGCCAAGTGTGGAATATGATATGGAAGAGTTGATGTTTCTGAGGAAAAAACAAATTCTTGGTGAGGGATATATATACTTCTTACTTAGAATGACAGGCTACTACTAGTATTTTCCTTAGAAAGCCATCGTTAACTGCTAATAGTGCTGTAGCTCACACAACATACCAGAGAAATGGGGACTCTTATTTTAACATCCTCCCACACATTCAAACTGATCCATAAGATTAGCAAAAGTGACTGAAAATCCCAACTGACACAAAAAATTCTGCCTAGAACGCACATTCTTTCACATGAAAGATCATGAATAAAATGGAACAAACATTTTTATAAAGAAGGAAAAAGTAAAGATTCTTTGTTATAAATTATGGCAAGGAGGCTGGCCTCAATTACTCTCCCCAGAACTCACTAAGCCACTATGCAAAAGTCCTAGAAAAATCACCTAAGACACACTCCATCCCCAGATCTCTAAGACATTTAAAATGCATACTCGTAGGCCGGGGATATAGCTCAGTGGCACAGCGCCTGCCTGGCAAATGCGAGGTCATGAGTTCGATTCCCAGTACCACCAAAAAAAAAAAAAAAATAAGACTTTAAAAAAAAATATATTCTTAGTAGACCATAATACTGTGGTATAGCCAACTGCATGTACATCTGTGCTCTCAGCTAAAATATGAGGTCCCAAGGTGAAAGATACACATTTTACTCATCTGTTTCCCTAGCTGGACACTACTTACTTACAGACCTACAAAATGTTACCACGTAACAAATACTTTTTCACAGAGTGCAAGACAATCTTAACATGATAAGCTTTCAACTGTATTAAATTCTTCACAGTTTTATCCACAAGATCTAATTACTTATCCAATTTAAAGAAATTTAGAAAAGGTGTGCATTTTAATGTCCTCATAATTAGGACTCACATCTGAGATTAAGCTCCAAATGCCCAGGGAAAAGTTTAGCACAACCTAGTCTGCACACAGTTAGCAGGAAAGGTACAAACGTGTTTCTTACTGACCTCTAATACTCAGCTGGAGCTCCTCAGTAAAGAATGTTTTGAAGTCCTTACTCGAGATCTCAAGAGTTGCCTCTCCATAGCTGGGGTTTTCTGGCATAAGCCTGAACAGGTGATAAAGTAATTTGTTCAAACTCTTTGTTTTCCTAAGGTACATTGAATACAGAGCCCGAAGCTGGTGGAGAGCAAAGATGTTGTTAGTGAACTCAATTAAATCAAAAGAATCAGAAAAGAACCAGTCAGCCAGGTGTGGTGGCACATGCCTATAATCCCAGCACTTGGGAGGCTGAAGCAGGAGGATCACCATGAGTTCGTGGCCAGCCTGGGCTACATAAGCGTGTTCCACTACCTAGTGCAGGCCCTGTCTCAAAACAGAAAAACAAACAAGCCAGAAAAACAAAACAAAAGAACCAATCAAACTATGAGCAACTATGTAAGAACACCAATAATAAGTGCATCATTTCGAAGTCTCAGAAGAGTCCTACAAAATGCATGCAATGTTCTTACTTCCCAAATGGGCCGAACAAGTGAGTGCTGCCTCCCTTCCTCGCAAACACCTCCCACCCTCACTGTCTCCTCCCTCACTGTGGGATGTACGCTTCTAGCATCTTTTTCAAATTGTCTCCTGTTACTACGCTCACCTTGACTTGGCACTGTCTGTTTGAGTCCAGAAAATTCATTCACCGTTTCCCAGAGAATCTAGCTCACTCTCCTCCCTTCCAAGTCCTTCACCTTGCAAATTCCCGCAAAAGCAAAGTTCCTCCTATCCTATGTCAAACACCGCAGCATCCCTTTAGGACAGAATGCAAAAACTAGTAAATGCTCAAAATGGTCTTGGCGTAGCTTCACAATTGTCTTAGCAATTAGAAACTTGCATAGAAAAATATGGATTTCTTGTTTCTCTTTTAAAAACAGGAAACTCTGGCCCCACTACAGGAGCACCGTAGCATGTGTGACACGTGCTTTACAACCCCTCCTTGTCCCTCCATAAGTCTACATTTTTCATTTACTTTGCAATTCTTTTTGTACATAATTTATTTTATTTTTTTTTCTTTTAAAGAGAAAAGAACAAAAAACTATAAAAACAATACAGAATTTCAAAACAAGATGATAGGAAATGAACAATGGCTGTTGCATTACTTATTGTTATCGTTATCGTCAAAGTAGCTGCTCAGATTCCCAGATATAGGTGTGCAAGATTGATCAAAACGCTGCAATTCTTGCGTGTGCAGCTGTTCTACTACACTACACACGTCACAGCGCAAAGATACCACTTTCTAAGCACTCCGACTACTCACACACAAGGATCAAGTTATAGATTTCAAACTCATTCTTAAAACATGTGGATGAAAACATCCTTAACAGAGAAATTTGGGGACACTACTGAGTACCCAAGCTTCACACTAACCGTAAAAGGGCACACTAACATTATGTGCTTCCTCAAGGAACACTGAGGACAAATCACAACGTGAGCAGTAAATGCTCCTGCTGAACATTAAGCAGAATATAATCAGGAGGAAACAAGAAGACAAACCCAAACTGTAGGACGGGCTTCCAAACAGCTGGACAAAACAGTGACAAGAACAAAACACTGGGGAATTACAGAAAGGATATAATCACTAAAGAAATATGACAGACAAGTACAAACATGACCCTTGATTCAACTTTCAATAGAGAAGGAAATAAAACTACAAAAGATGTTACCAGGACAGCTAGAGAAATATAAATCTAAATTAGATATTAGTGCATCAAAACTAGGTTTCTGGATATTATGTTTATGTGGGAACATACCCTCGTCCTTAGGCAATACCTGCTTCAATACTTTCAGTAAAGCAGTTTCATGTGTACCACTTACTTTCAAGTGGGTGAGCAGCAAAACAGTGAATACAGAGCAAATATGACATGTTAAAAATGTCTCAATCTGGAACGGTACATGACATTTTATTCAATTATTTTTCCAACTTCTCTATAATTATGCTTTTTTTTTTCCAAAATAAAAAGTTGGAAGAAAAAGAGAATTTTTTAAAAATTCATCATCCATGTCTTGACTTTTAAAAACACTCATGAATGGCCCAGAAAGCCCGTATTCAGGTACAGAAAACAGGTCCATACAAAATGTATGTCTGTTCAGAAATGTGCAAATTAACAGTTAACTCAGGGTCACGTAAATTAACATGCTGTTGAATTCACTCTGTCAAACGGCTAGATAAAAGTCTCAACATGACTGTGATTTGTGAAGGCAAACTGATAATATTCTTTGTTTTAAAAGTTGTTGGGTTAAACATAAATTATTTTAAAAATGTGGATTTTTACTCCCAGGATACAGTGTTTATTTTGTGATACCATGCAGAATAATATATGAATAAAATCTTTGTAAGTATGTAAATATGTCATAAATAAATAATACTTTGATTTATTTCCCCCCCCCCCGCCAAAAAAAATCTGTATGTTCACAGCAGCTTTAGTTCCAACGGCCAAAACTAGGAGAAACAAGCAAGTGGTCTATTAACAAATGAACAAAGACCAGAATATCCAAATGTGGACTCTTTCTCAGGCGTAAATGGAGAGCTAGTATTGGTACGTGCCACAACGGGAATGAGTCTGGAAAATACTGTGCTAAGCGAAATAAGCCAGACACAAACGAGCGCGTACAGGAAACGTCCACGGCAGGCAAAATCCAGAGACAAGCTGACAGGTTCTAGGCAGCTGTAGGGTCAAAGAGGAAATGAGAAGTGCTTGCAAATGAGTACGAGTTCGCTTTTAGGGTGCTGAGATGCCGAAAATGTTCCAATATAAGGTGTGGGAATAGTGCACAACTCTATATAGAATAAGATGAAACTACAAATGTGCAAACTTTAGGTTATGTGAAATATACCTCAATAAAGCTATAAAATGGTGGGGGAGACAGCCTTTTCCTGTTCAATTCTATATGGTAGGGATGTTTCTGAGAAGACAGTTTTTAAAATTCCTATGATTTAAGACCAATTGAATGGGAGGCTGAGGCAGGAGGATTGTTGCGAGTTCGAGACCAGCATGGGCTAAGAAGTGAGCTCAAGGCCAGCCTGAATTGCATAGCGAGACCCTGCCTCAAAAAAAAAAAAAAAAAAAAAAAAAAACCAAACAAAAAAACCCAACCCAACTGAAGTGTTTTTTTTTTGTTTTTGTTTTTTTTTAAGATTCTCATTTCATTTCAGGATTCAACTAATTAGTATTATTTGGGCTGGGGATTTAGCTCAGTGGCAAAGCGCCTGCCTGGCAAGCGCAAGGTCGTGAGTTCAGTTCCCGGTACCGGAGAAAAACCAAAAAAAAAAAAAAAAAAAATTAGTATTATTTAATGTTCTGATCTACATGTTCACAGTTCAGTTCAAGCTTCAGGCTCAGTTATACATGCTAGCTACTACTTTGCACTCCTCCCCCATCTTGACAATGAGAATGATGACACGGCCATTTTCCCAATTTCTGAATATGCAATGATGAAAACAAACCCCTTGTCAGAAGCCTCCCTCTGCTATGCTTTTGAACACATCAGCAGTATTTTAAGAAACAGATGTAAAAGCCCATCATGGAACTTCTGAAGCACAGCAACAGTGACAGCAAATAAAATTAGCTTGAGTCACAAATGTGAACGATAAGACCAGAGAACGTTCAGTCACTTCATCTTCCCCGCATAGCTGCAAACGCCAAGACGTACAGACTGACACATCCGGACAGATATGGGTTTGAGCGATAACACAGAGTATAGTTTACAAGTTCTGAAACATCCCATTGGAAAAGAAGACCATGAGCATTTAATCGCACTTTTAAGAAATGATAAAATCTTTTTAAACTGATCTGTCAAGAAACATGTTTACTACAAGGCTGATTCTGTCAAAGTTTGATAGAGTTTTTTAAAAAGGGGGGAACTTTCTAAAAAAAAAAAGCTACAGGTCTTCTTCACAATTAGTCTTTCTCCTAACATGAGACAACAGCGACATCTAGTGGCTGATAGAATAATTTGGGCAAAATAATCACAACTTTCACCATTTAGAAATAACACCTTGAATTAGGCAGATAATGTTTCAAAGATCTTCCTCTGAAACAGAATTTTTTTTTCTTTTTTTGGAACTCAATGCCTTCACACTGAGCTACATCCCCAAATCTTTTATTGTTCCCTGCAATAAAATAACTTAGCAACTATGTTAAGTTAGAAAAAATTGCCATCCACCCTTCAGGGATTAACTACTTCTGGAAAAAGGAAAAGTACATTTGGAGGGTGAAAGAGCAGTAACAGAAGCAAGCGTAACGGTAGTGAGGTTAACTGGATAACAATCAAAATGTAAGGCAAATCTCCTTCTATTCAAAAGGAAGGTAAAGTACAGAGACAGCTCGTTAGGACAGAACTGTCAAAAGTTGCTGTCTAGGTTCGATCCCCAGTACCGCAAAAAAAGAAATGAAAACAGGTGTCACATATTTACCTGAGATGAAGCAGCTTTGAAGAAAGTAAGTATTAATTTCCAAGTAAGGAGATACCCCAGAACATAACAGAAGTCTTCACTTAGTGGCTTAATAGTGACTATCTGTCCTACAGGAATACACCCCAGAATGTTTTCTAGTAAGTCCTCTTGAGTGCTCAGCAGAGACATCAGTACGGCTGGGGGTGACCTACAAAGAAATAATTCAACAGCACGATTTTCTTCATAACTTGTCCCTGAACATACCATGGTATTTATAAACTTCAAACATTTTAGAACAATCCTTTTCTATTTTCCCAAAACCTTTTAAAATGTTCCCCTCTACAGATCCAATTTTAACTCGTTTCACATAAAGACAACTATGACATGCTACAAAAATATGGACCACAGATGGGTGTAGTGGCGCATGCCTGTAATCCCAGCACTCAGGAAGCTGAGGCAGGAGGACCGCAGTCAGCCTGGAATACACAGCAAGATCCGGTCTCAAAAAACAAACACAAAAATATGGACCGTAGATGTTAGCACTTGAAGATACTTTTAGAAAACATCCAACTTCTGTTTTATAGATTAAAAAAAAAAAAAAAAAAAAAAAAAACATATAACCAAGGCAGCCAAATGAATAGTCCAGAAGCTATTGAAGTGAAGTATTAGGGTTTCCACACCTTACCCAGTCCCTGATCACATCACAAAGGGCAAAGTAAGGATGAAGATTTTACACTTTATCTCCTCATCTTTCTATTTTACCACATACTGTCTAATGCTTGGCAGTGTAAGAGACGCCATAATCATCACAATTTATCAGAAGGACAAACACAGGAAATAATCATGAGGTTTTTAAATCATAAGGCTGTATCTCTTCTTAGGAAATTTAACATTCACATTAATTCACAGCAATGAAAATTAATTTTCTTCTTTCTTGAGCCACTAAACTCATTAATACTTTCAGGTAAATTTATGAGATTGTGTAAAAGTAATATATTTATATCCTTTCAAGCTTTATCTGTAATACTCAAACATGTTTCTCCTTTTTTTTTTTTTTTTTTTTTTTTTTTTTGAGACAGGGTCTCGCTATGTAGTTCAGGCTGGCCTTGAGCTCACTTCGTAGCCCAGGCTGGTCTCAAACTTGCAATGATCCTCCTGCCTCAGCCTCCCAGTGCTAGGATTATAGGTCTGCGCCACCACACCAGGCTCTGGTTCTCTTTTTACGTCTGTAGTCTTTCTTCCCTTGTGGCTTCCTTCTCCCCACCCACCAACACAGGCCACTGTGCTTCTGCCTTTTTAACTTCAGCATCTTGGTGTCACACACCAGCCGTTCTCCAGCCCACTTCAGTGGTCACTAGACCTCACCCATCTCTCCATGAGGTCTGACATCTCTCCCCGCCCCACAGCCTGCAACACACTCACTAAAATCTGCTTCTCTCTCTTTCGTGGGGTACGGGACTGAACCCAGGGCCTTCACGCTGAGCTCCACTGCCAGGCCATTTTGTACTTTTTTTATTTTGAGACAAGGTCTCACTAAGTTCCCGAAGCAGGGCCGGAGTGCGCAGTCCTCTGGCCTCAGCCTCCCGGAGCGCTGGGATTACCGGCGTGCACCAGCACACTCGTGTCTGCTTGCTTCCCTCCACGATTCAACACTCACACACACTGCCACACGTAGCTGGTGGTGCCCACCTCATACCAAATTTCCAAAATCCTTAAAAATCACCATCTCAAGGCCACTCATTAAGTACTCTTCCGGCTTCATTTTCCATTACACCCCACCCCTATGCACACAGGCCTTCACCTTTTATTTTATGCAACAAATAAGCACTACTAATGTTTGCATTTGCTATAGGCCAGGAACTCCTATGGGGCGTGTGGGTATAATCAGGAATAAGTGACAAAATTCCTGCCCCGAGTTTACATCCCAGTGAAGGAAGATACAGTTAAAAAAAAAGTAACAAACACTCAACATTCCCCACACCCCTCCTGGACATCATGCCCCAGTGCTTCTAAACATGGCGTTTTCCTTTTTTTTCTTTGTTTTTTTTTTTCCAATACCGGAAATCGAACTCACAACCTTGTGCTTGCCAGGCAAGTGCTGTGCCGCTGAGCTAAATCCCCAGCCCATTTTCCTAACTCATACTATATTGCCTTTCCTGTCTTGCTAAGATGTTCTCTCACCTTAAAAGGCTAGTTAACATCTCTCTTCCTCAAGAGAAAGTGTTCTCTTCTTGGTGTACATTAATTGTGTCCCCATAACATGCTACCCAGGCATTTTCCCAGCACTGGTCATACACTGTATCTTCTACTATACTAATACCTTAGATTTGAAAATCCTTAAGAAAAGAATGCGTTCACTAAACACTGCATAGCCCCCTCAGCATTTAATAAATGCTACACACAAAGTGAGCACTCCACAGATGTTTCAGCTGATGTGCTGCTTCCCCAACTGCTATGCGACCCGAGTTCCAGTGAAAGAAGCGAACTGGAAACATGACTGAGGACCAACTAAGAGATGCAATCCTGTGGGTGAACGCTACATTTCATTTGCATCTTGCAGATAACTTTCAAAGGGTGCATCTGTAGAGTGAATATATCCTCTAAACTTCAAGCTTCTGCACCGTTTCAATCTTCCAACTACATGGTGAGGTGGATTATCAGGATTTAATAAACCAAATAATAAAGAGAAAAAAACTTACAAGGCTGGTTCTTCTTCTTCATCTCCGTATGACTTTAGATTATCCTGATCATACTGCGGTAATTCAGGCATCAATCTGCAATTAGAAGATATTTAAATAATTTATATTCAATTATTCATTGTTAAATCATGTATAAGAGTGGAAAGACTAATACTCATAAATAAAAATTTTAATGATTTTTTTTCTGAAATAATTACCTAAATGGCTAGACTACCTAAATATGAACTGTATCAGGAAAAAAAATGTCCTAGAACAGCAAACAACTTGGCATCCCTGTACTGAAATAGTCAGATCTTTTTATCTTTAAACTGACTTTTTAATGATTGAAAATAAAAAGTGTATATATATATATATATATATATATATACACACACACACACACACACACACACACACATACATATGCATACACACACATACATATATGAACACTATATTCATTGAACAAGAAAAGTCCTTACTTGTAGAGCATATGATAAACAGCAATTTGCACAGGTCTAGCTCTGGAGAGAAGTAACGGGACCAACGTGTTTAACAAAGTCTGGAGATTCTCAGGTAAGTTTGTTTTGGGGCCAGTCCCCAGTTTTGCAAGTTTGTGCCTCAACAGCTGATCCTTCGAGATATAAGTTAATGTTTCACACATGGGCTTCAACATTGCATTTTCAAAGGTGGTTTCAGACAGATCTTTATTTTTTCCTGATAACAAGAAAGCAAAAACATATACATCTCAAAAGAAAGTGAGTAACACCAATATAGGCTGACTGATAATCAAATGTCACTTGAGAAAATGAAATGAAAACCAGACTATAAACATTACAGCAGTCCTAACTGGATACATGCACTAACATACATTTTAGTTTAGCTCAACTGTTTCAGTGACTTATTCTACCTTTTAAAAAAGCAAATCTTCAATACAGGCTCCAGTCATTTAATTTATTCATGTTGCATAAATTATTATTATTTTAATTTGCAACTATTTTTCGATACCATGCCATTTTTTAATTCATTCTAAAGTACTCTAAAGCAGCAGCATATACACTGCTTCCAAGAAGCCAAGCTTTCTCTTCTAGCACTTTTACTGTATAGAACTATTTGTATTTTGTTTTAAAACATTCAACAAGTCATTTTCAATGAAGCTCATTATTGTGTCCTTTTTCACTTGCCTGTAATATTCACCAAGAGAGGTAAAAGCAAACTATGGATGCCCTGGGAAAAAAACTCTTTCCATTCACTGACTAGATTTACAGGAAGATTAGCGACGGCTTCCGGAGTGGCTGAATCAAAGAACGCGCTGAGGTCGCAGGCCAAGTCGCAGCTGACGCAGGCCAGTCGCTGTACGAGCGGAACAGGGTACAGCGCCTGATTCTCCTTGGTAGTCTGAAGACACAACAGAAATGCAACAGGTAAACTGGAACACGACAAATAAACACAATAAAGAGAAGACCCGCGTTCATTTATCTGCATTTAAAAATAAAAAGCAGTTGAAGCTTCAGGAGAAATTTATACAGTTCATTCATGTCAAAACAACTTTCTTTCAAAATCTGGAGTTCGAATTATAATCATTAATGAACAATTTATTCTGAACTAGCCTTTCATTTACTATCTTCAATTTACTACGGAAGGAAATATCATCTACCATTTACTCAGAAGACAATGTCATCTGCTTTACAGTACAGTACATTAACAGAATGTTTTTGATCACGTCAATAGCTCTACAAGTTGCACTGTTTTTGTTTTTTTGAGACAAGGTCTCACTGAACTACACAATGAGAACTCAGTATGTAGAATTCATACTTGCAGTGATCCTCCTGCCTCAGCCTCCCACATATTGGGATTACAGGCATGTGCCACCACACCCAGCTAAGTTATTTTGTTTTATTTACTTGGGGAGGCTACCGGGAATCAGACTCAGGACCTCATGCTTGCCAGGCAGGTGCTGCACCACTGAGCTAAACCTCTGGCCCTAGCTAAGTTGTTTTAAAAGGAGAAAACTCAGGCTCGGAGGAGTCAAGCTTAAAATCTGAAGTCACACAGCTATAACCAGGCAAAGCAGAAACTCAGGCCAGTTCAATTCTGACTTGCTATCCTACAGCCAACAAGTGCTTTGAGTCCTAAAAAGAACACTAATTCCCTCTTAATTTCTGTATCTTTCCTACATTACTCTGGCAATTCTGACACAGTATGTTTTAAAAATAAATATATCCAAAGGGGCCTTGTCATGACCTTCTAAAGGCTGTGTTGCAAATCTTACGTCAGAGTGAGCAAGTACAGAACATTTTCACAGCGGTTAGCGGACGTAGTCACTAAATGATGCCGGTAAGTCATTACACTGCATCATTTTCCCAGTTTGCCAAAGAGCAGCTAGTGAACAGGGGTCTACGCAGTATTTTAAATGTTCCCAAAAGCATCACAACCACTGTGTAAAGAATGAGTACACTGCCGTGATGTGCAGGTACGCACCCAGTCAACAGAAGTGACGCCCGCCAGGTTACCTTACCTCCAACCAAGCCAACATGGAACACATGATAAAGTCCCACTCGCTCTCCACCAAAGGAGACGAGCAGTATTTCAGAAACAGGCAAAGGAACCGGACTATTTCTATATTTACACCCAGTACCTCTGGACTTGCTTCTGATAGATTACTGTAATAAAGACAAAAACAAAATAACAAAAATTCAAAAACATTAAATGATTATAGCGATCAGAAAATATTTCACTTTAAGTCACATAAATGACTAAATATCTACCATTGTACAAAATTTTGACTATCATATACACAACATGGGTTCCCATCAGATATGCGGAGGGAAAAACACAGATAAAGGATCACCTACCAACTGAAAAGAAAAATATCTTCGTGTTCTTTCTTCCAGGATATTATAATTTTCAATATACCATGTAGTAGCTCTCCGTCATCAATGCTTCCGGTTTGCAGACAAGAATTAAAAATGGCAAGATGCCCAAAACCTCCTAAAGTAAGGTTCAAAACAAAAATAAATGTTTTAATTAAAAATTACACCGTTACTAGGAATGTTAACAACTCCACAGGGCAGAGCGCCCTCTTCACACCCTGCGCCTAGCACAGAAGCGGGAGTGAGCGGGAAGTGGGGTCGCACTAAACGATCCCGTGCAGTTTTGTGTGCAGAAGGTATCTGTCCTCAACTTTCTAAGAGCAGTGAGAAAGCACAACTACAGAGTCTAAAGCGAGTAAGGATGGACAACTGAACATATTCTGCGTTTCATGCATTCGCTCAGAAACCATCCACTCTATCTGGCAAGCTCTTGGAGTGGCCACCCTTTAGAATCGCACCATTTCTCAACCTCGGCCTTCTAGGGCATTCCACTACCCAGTCGAATCTTTCAGGCTGAACGCCAGCCAAGATGAGCGACATGCACCCCTGTGTGATTTTGTGTACCGGGAATGCCCTCCCCCCGCTATGTCTATGTGTAAAACTGTCCTTGAACACCCAGCTGAAGTATTTCTCTTTGTAAAACGGCCTTTGTCACCCTCCAAGCAGAAGGGAAGTTCCTTCCTCTCTGCCATATCAATAATAGTACACTGAGGCTGGGGATTTAGCTTAGGGGCAAAGCACCTGCCTGGCAAGCGCGAGGTCATGAGTTTGATTCCTGGTACCGGAGAAAATTTTAAAAAACACAACAACAACAAAAAATAATAGTACACCGCTTTGCTACAACAGTTATGAAAGGAGGTAACTTTATGTCTGTCTTCTCTACAATAGAAACCATATAACAGGTGTCGTTTGTATTAAATTACTAAATACGTGAACAGGGTGCAGAATTCAAACAAGTTGCACACACACTGCAAAAGCTCTCCTATCCATCGCTTCTCGGCCTTTTGGCTAAGACCAAGTGAAGCTCTCCTATCCCTTCTACTTGGGAAAATGAGACGCAGCTTTAAAAAGTTACAGGAAGAAAAGAAATAAACACAGGGTACTTGTGAGTATACATCTTCCCTTGAAGCATTTCTGTCTAAAAAGTAAAAGCCACATTTTCAGGTACACTCATCCTAACAACTGTCAACTTGGGTAACAAAATATAAAGTAGGCACAAGTAAGCCGTCCCTCCATTTATCTCTGCCACAACGGGTTTTACATGTTGAAAAACACTTCTTTCACCTCAAACGACAATTCAATCAGTGAAATACTTATTATCAAGCAACTAACCATTGGTACTGCAAAGGTCTTCCTTAGTCCAGCCCAAAAGAGCAGGTACACATTGAGAACTGAATTCTTTCTTTTCTTCTTTTGACAAAAATGGACAGAGACTTTGAATGGTATGTAAATTACCTTCTGTTAGCGGAAAGAAACTGTTCAAAGGAAAAATACAAATATTTATATGTGCAGTTATTTCATACAATTCCTCTTATTCTGACTATCCAAAACAACTACTAATTCCACTATGTAAACCACTTGTAAGAAAAAAAAATAAGATACTCTAACAAGATGCACAATTACAGATTTCTGATAAACTTTTAGAATTTTTTTCTGCTTCTTCCTCTTTTGTGAATATTTCTAATTTTTGAAATGAGCATGTAAGGGGCTGGAGATATAGCTCAGGGGCACAGTGCCTGCCTGGCAAGCACAAAGTACTGACTTTGATTTCCCAGTACCCCCGCAAAAAAAAACCAACAACAACCACAGCATATATAACTTTCCCTATGATTTTTTTTTTTTTTTTTTTTTTTTTTTTTTTTTTTTTCTCCGGTACCGGGAACCGAACTCACGACCTTGCACTTGCCAGGCAGGCGCTTTGCCGCTGAGCTAAATCCCCAGCCCAAAATGCAAATACTTTTTTTTTTTTTTTTTTCATTTTTTTTTCTGGTACCAGGAATCAAACTCACAACCTTGTGCTTGCCGGGCAAGCTCTGTGCTGCTGAGCTAAATCCCCAGGCCCTCCCTATGATTTTTAGAAACTGTAACAGCAGGCAAAATGTGTATGTCAGTGGTAGAGCACTTGCCTAGCATGAGGTCCTAGGTTCAATCTCTAGCACTGAAAACACACACACACACACAGGCAACATGTAAAAACGCTCTCTTTAAGAGCTAAGGGCTGGGGAGGGGGCTCAGTGGCAAAACACTTGCCTGGCATGTACAAGGCCCTGGGTTCCATCCCCAGCGCCACAAAACAAAACAAAACAGCCAAGAGTTAGCTGATTCAGCCAGGTGGTGGTGCACACCTGTAATCTCAGTACTCTGGGAGACTGAGACAGCAACTCAGTGACTCAGCACCACCTGGTCTCAGGGTAAAGAATAAAAAAGGGCTGAGGACAGAGCTCAGTGGGAAGGCCCCGGGATCAATCCCCAGTACCTCAAAAAAAGGAAGAAAAGCCAGTTCTCTTAATTTAAACGGTCCCCAGTATGTCAATGAATTGATACATATACAGATAGATGAACAGATAGACAGATAGATAGATATAGATATATCTACACAGAGAGAGAAAGAGCTGGATTTTATTGACATAAACAGTATCACACTGGGGCCAGGGATTGAGCTCAGTGGCACAAGCGTCTGCCTGGCAATTGCAAGGTCCTGAGTTCGATTCCCGGTATGAAAACAAATGAATAGTATCACACTAAACATAATAGTTCTACTATTTGTTACATATTTTGCAAGTCTACATCAGAATATATCAGTATATCCTATTTTAAAGCTGAATAATGACATTAACGTATATTTTGATAATTTAAAAACACCTTCTGTAAAAGCATAACAAGTTTATGCTTTCACCAAAAATGTACAAGTGTGAATAATGTCTGTTTAAAACTTAACAATATGGTAGATAAAATGTGCTGCTTTTAAGTTGTGCTTCTGCCATTATTAGGAAGGTCACACTGCATAACTGAATTATCTCTGACCATTTCATGTCTGAATTATCTGTTCAGGTCTTTGTCACACTTATCGATTTAAGTGGTTTTACTGATTTGTATGTGCTATTTATAAATTACAAATAAAAATTCCTTATTAATTTCCAAATGTGTTCTCCCATTTTGTCATCTGTCCTTGTCATCTTGTTTTATTCGGTGCACAGATGCCAACAGTGGTAAGGACATTCACCTCACAGAACTCGTCTCCAGAACTCTTCTGTAGTTCATAAAACTGAAGCTTTTACTCAGTAAACAAATATTTCCCATTATCCCTCCCTCCCAGCCCCTGAGAACCACCATTCTCTTTTCTGTCTCTGTGAATTTAACTACTCTAAGGTAGCTCAGATGAAGTGAAATCAGAGGTATTTGTTCTTTTACAACTAAATTCTTGTACTCTGCATAATGTCCTTAAGGTTTACCCATATGTACTATAAGATGAATAATACTCCATAACTCATTATTTTTTGTTTATTCATTCACTCACTGATGGGCTCTTAAGTTGCCAGAAGTTTTCACTTTTATGAATTCAAATATCTGTCAATTTAAATATGTCACAAAATTCCAAATTCTGCGCTTTAAGATCTTCCCCATACCAAGACTGTACAGTCTCTTACTTCCCCTAATACTTTTATAGACCTTTACATTAAGGGGTTTTTTTGTTTTCTTTTTTTGTTGGGTTTTGTTGGTACTGGGGATTCAACCCAGGGGTATTCTGTAACTGAGCTACATCTTCAACATTTTTTATTTTTTATTTTGAGACAGTCTTAACTAAGTTCCCAGGCTGGGCTTGAACTTTTGATCCTCCTGCCTCAGCCTTCCAGAGTTCTGGGATTAAGTCTGTGATGAAAGTATAGATTAATACATCGATTTTTATAATTTATCTTTCAATCTCCATTTCTGATCTTTCTTAAAGGGTTGTACTTGTAATTTTGGTTAAATTTATACTTTTGTTTTCACTGCGAACAGAATTTCTTTATTCCTAGACCATCTTTAAATTAACAGGAAATTTAGTGGTTTTGTATGTCAAGTATATATCTCTCATTAATAATTAGTTCTAATTGTTCTTAATTCTATAGTACTTTATAATCAGAAAAAAAATGACGCTGACAAAAAAGCCCATGTCGTATCGTACGACTCCATTTATATACCATTTGTAATTGACAAAACTATAGAAACAGGGACCAGATTAGTGGATACTCAGGATTAGGGGAAAGGAAAATGGATGAGGCTATAAAAAGTGTCATCCCACTGCGTCACGGTCACACACAGAGGTGAACAAAGCACACGCAGAGATGTCCGCGTAAACCTGGCAAGTGGACTGCTTCAGCGCCATTTTCTTGGTTGGGAAACTGTATTATAGTTCTGCAAAATAACACCCCCGGAGAAAACTAGACGAAGAGCATACATGTTATCTTTTATCTTTGTGTTGCTTTTGTTCTATGTTATTTCTTACTATTATAAGTGAATCCTTCAAATAAAATATTGAAATTTTTCAATAAGGTTTAAAAAAAATCAAAATTAAATTTAGAATTCTACTATGCCAGAACGTATATACATCTTTTCAGAATTCCTGGTAAGTCAGCAATTTCAAAATGCTTGCTGGTAAATCTCAGCTAAGTATTAATGTGAATGCTGAGGCTCGTTGGCTTATCCAACTGCACGTTCTCCCGCTTTGTCATCCCACTTTTCCTGCACTCCCATAACACAAGGAGCCTCAATCAAAAGAAGCAACTGCACCTACCACTTCCACATAGCAAGGGAAGTGCCGGATGCCCTGTGTTTCAGGGGAAAGAAAGATTCCTTTGGTGAAAAGAGAACAGATCTATAAAATGTTAAAGGGCTACTTGTTGAGAACAAGTATAAAATTGCACAACCAAATGTTATAAAGTTAAATATGCTTCATTAAAAAAAAGCTATGTCTCTAAAACAATTTAGGTTGTCTTTGGCTTTATTTCTCTTTGCCTTTAATTTCTCATTTCCTAAACCCGTCTTCTTGATTCATTAGAAACTGTTCATTAATTGAGGACTGTCTGCTGGGCGTGGTGGCGCACCCCTGTAATCCCAGCACTCGGGAGGCTGAGGCAGGAGGATCGCTGTGAGTTCGAGACCAGCCTGAGCTACAAAGTGAGCTCAAGGCCAGCCTGAACTGCATAGTGAGACCCTGTCTCAAAAAAAAAAAGGGATTGTCAAGGTGAACAATTACAATAAATTACAAATTAAAGATACTTTAAATGAGAATACCTTTCTTTTCTTTTATAGTGTAGTTTTACTTCCTCAGATGAAATGCTTCGGGAAAGGATCAACTTAGCAATAATAAGGGACCAAAGCGTACCATTTTCCCTAGATCTAAATAAGGAAAAAAATTATACCACATTATCAAAGCATTCTTAATAAGTTTTTAAACACCACCTGTACTCTTTTTCCAGAACTAAATCATTTTATGAGGCATCAACTCACCCCAATTTTGTACCCAAGCAACTGCCATTCATTGCCCCAAAGACTGTTGAGTTTACTTTCACTATTTCTTCAAAACTGGAATACAGTTTTCACTACAAGGTTATCCCAAAGTCCTTCCAGTCCCAGCACACCCATACGCCTATACCAACAGCTAAAGTACAGGCTGCATTTGAACGCACTGAGAGGATGGGTAACCAACGACAAGTTAAAGCAATTTCTACAGGCTCCTACTTCTCTCATTGCCATCTGCACCCTGACCGTGCTCATGGATTTAATAGTTCAGGAAAGGTCCAAATATCTCCCCCAGCAATTAAATCAAATACTGACTATCCATAAAGGACCTATAATTAAGAGATTATCCAGATCTGCCGTCTCACTGAGGCATTAGTGTGAAGCAGGCTTACATCTCACACAGAAGGCAAAACCATGAACAAATAAAATAACCATTTACAAAAACGAATTAGATTCTTACCTGTTAAATAGCAGCTGCAAAACACCAGAAGTAACACGAAGTGCACATAAATTATCATATGTAATATTCATTTTTTGAAGTATTTCACAAAATCCAGTTACAAAACTGGGTGGATTGTCTAGTTCTTCACACCACTGTAGCGAATATAGTAGTTCTGCAGCTAAGAGAACAAACAGCGCCAACTTAGCAAGCGTATATGTGGAAATCCTTACATCATTTTCCTATCTGCCCCCTTATCTGACAGTAAAAACGAAAACAAAAGCATAGCCTTCAGTAACAGACGAGCCTGGTTTTAAATCTCTGTCTTGAGTTCTATATACATAGTTATCAGTTAAGATACTACAATTTTACTTCATAGGGTTGTTGTGAGATTTAAATGACCAAGTGTCTATCGCAAAACCCTACACTAACACGTTTCTAAAACATACTCAGAAATCCCTTTTATAAAGCCATGCATGGAGGGGGAAGTCAGAAGCTTTAAAATGTAATTTAGGGCAGGCATGGTGGCGCACGCCTGTAAATCCCAGCAGTTGGGAGGCTGACGCAGGAGGGTCTCCATAAGTTTGAAGCTAGCCTGGGATACATAGTGAGTTTAAAGCCAGCCTAAATTGTATAGTGAAACCCTGTCTCAAAAAGACCAAAAAAAAAAAGAGAGAGAGAGAAAGTAAAAACCTCATTAAAAAGCTAAGCCTTAAAAAAAACTAAACTAAGTAGCCCTAATCCAATCAGAACAACAAAAATAACAGTAGTATTTGACAGAAATGGCTAATAAAAAATAACTAAGTAACATTGCTAGTTTGTGAAAAAATACACAACACCAACAAAACAACAAAAACAAAAAGCCAAGTGTCTGGCTTTCTTCACAGACAATACACCCTCCATACTACACAGTAACTGTGCTACATTTGAGGCTTATAACAACACTGACCCAGGATTTGTGTAAATCTACCTTGTGTAAGTCACACCATTTCCTGCAATTCTCAGCCATGTACTAGATTAGGAGACTGCGGATGTGCTAAGTGCTCCTGAGACTCAACTTGTGAGGAAAACAAGCAGCTGATGAATTCTACGGTCTAGAGGCTCAGAAATCAAAGCATAGTTCGGAAGCGTTGATAAAGCACCAACGCCTCACAGCCGTCTCTTTTGGGTACTGACGTCATGCCAGCTTGACTTCCTGATCTTACAGCGAATTATAAGGTGCAGCCCAGAAGATTATAGCAAGATTTCAGCACACTGACACCCAATTCACAATTTAACACTTATCACTTAAGTAACCCAGTGTCCCATCACTAAAATAATTGATAAAAAACTACCGAATTCCATTTAAACTGCAGCAAAATCAAAATTACTTAAAAATTACATGCATTTGTGCATTGTAGCTGAATCTTCGTGTATACTCACTTATTTTCTCAAGCACATTACTTTCCAGAGCTATTTTCTTCTTCAGTGCAACTAAGGTCATTTTGCTCAACAATGCTGACGTACACAGGTGGCTGGGAAGTGTCTTTGTATCTTGTTCTTTAAAATCTGTTTTGAAACATTCATAATTCAAACTCAATCTTGCCTCTAAAAGGGGTCTGTGTAACCACTGTAAAAAGAAAACATGAAAAGTATATGCAAAACAATTAGATATTACTATTTATGCAATTCAGACAGGGAACAAAATGAGTTATTAGAATACATAGCTTATGGTTAAATGCTTCAGAAATCTGAAAGTTTCATCTTTATTACAGAGAATTATCAATACATGTATTTTTTTAAGCAGAGAACCAAGTCCTAATCGCCTTTGTACCTGGTGACTGCCTGTATCAAATGATGTCTTGCAAACATCAACCTCCAATATGAGTATTCAGAGACATAAAGACAGAACAAGGTATTTGTATTTTTTTCCTCAGAATAAAATAAAAAAGCATTCAAGCCCGCATGAAACCCACTCTTCAATCCCAAACAGACCTGAACCGGAAGAGACTGTCTCATACTTTCCCACTCGGCGTGGTTTGGCACCACACTTCCGATATAAAGCCCCAGGAGAGCACCGCCTTCACTCTCTACCAGTGTATTCAGCAAATCATCGACAGCAGACAGGAGGACCTGTAGACTGAAAATAACGCAAAGAACTTAACTGCTGTAGTTATGCGACAAGTAGCTTGAATAGTTCAGTACATATTAAGTATCCTATGACAGGTAATGGTGTATCTGAATAAAAAAAGGTAAAAACAGCCAGGCAAGGGGGCACATGCTTGTAATCCCAGCACATGGGAGGCTGAGGTAGGCAGATTTCCATGAGTTTGAAGCTAGCCTGTGCTACATGGTGAATCTGAGGCCAGCCTGAACTACATGGCGAGACCCTGTCTCAAAAAAAAAAAAATACAGGTAAGGGATCCTCTGTTCCCTCTAGACCAGTGGCAGCAAACCTATGCCACAGTGGGCTGTTTGTATCACTGAAAGCTCTAAAAGGTTTGCCACTACTGCTCCAGACAAACACAGAGTCAAACTGGGACTCTAATCCGGGTATTTATGATTTGAAATACAGTGCTGTTTCTATACCAGAACGCAGACCTGACCAATTTCAGATCAAATACTTGTGAAATACAGCTACCTTATTCCATGCAAAGAGCATGACTATTTGACCTAATCCTAAAAGCTTTTAGAGACATTCTCTGTTATCACTCTCACTACATACATTTAGGTATGATATTGAAATGTAATTGCAATCCAACACCTTAAACTAGCAGCTACTTATTCCAAAATGATAAAAAAGCCAGTATAACTAGTATGTTGGTAACCATTAAGAGGCATGAATAAAAACCCCCCCAGCCTTTGACAAGGATAAACTACCATCACACCATGGACTAAAAATCAGTAGATCAGCAGATTAAACAAATCATTCTTCAATCAATCTGTAGTTTAAGCGGATGATCACTGAAACATACTTTTGGAAAAACTTGTTTGGAATTTCTCCTAAGAGTCCTGCAGCTTTCCGACATGACAAACCATTTTTCATAGGTGCTCACACTACCATGGAATTAAGCATAAACTAACTGAGCACAAAAAAGTTACCTTGTGTTATCCAGAGATGAAGACTGAACTTGCTTCTTTAGCCACAGAGCAGACAAACGCAGGAAGGTGCTCTGTTCGGAGGTACCACCGCTTTTACGGACCAGCAGGTTTACACCAGAAAGCCAGGTGTTCCTCAGTTTACATGTTAGAAAATCTAAGATCAAGATATCAACAGGAATGTGTACTCTCACTGAATTAATGTTAATCAGGATGCAATATCTGAAAACATTCACTACAGATCTGAGGTCTTTAAGATAACATTTTTAAAAGAAAACAAAATGAACATTAAATTGCCAAAATAAATTACCTGCAATAATGCAAGCTAGCTCGTGCCAGGAAGTGTAAAATGCTAAGATTTTAAAAGTTAGCTTTTTCTGCTCCAAAGAAGTCGTCCTTTGGGACATGTAATTTTTTTTTTTTTTTTTTTGGTGTTTTTGAGACAGGGTCTCGCTATGCATTTCCGGCTGGCCTTGAGCTCACTTGAGCCCAGGCTGGTCTCGAACTCACAACGATCCTCCTGTCTTAGCCTCTTGAGTGCTGGGATTACAGGCGTGCACCACCACGCCTGGCCTTGGATATGTAATTTTTAAAAACTGTCTTTAAAGCAAAGGGGAGGTGGGAGAAGGCGTTTCTATCAATAGTGTTTTTTACATTCCTTTCATAAATAAACCTGAATTAAACACAGGACAAGAATATAGTGCTTATAATCCCAGTCTCATTTTCATATCAATCAGGATTGAATATTTTTACTGTAAGAATGAAATATTATTATCCTTCTTTTAGGAGTGGACTATCAAGAAATCAACCTGAGTTCATGAATGGAGGGGCTAAGAGTGCAAAGCAGTTATTAATAACCCCTACCAAAACTGGTTTTGTAATGTCAAGTACGTGCTTTAGCAACTTCTACATACATCTTTAATTTGCTTCCTAAACTCAAAAGTGTAAAGACTGTAGCTATTAAGTCAAAACGCTTTACACTTCACATTACGATTCAATTAATAAAGCTTAGGGCTGGGGATATAGCTCAGCGGCACAAGCGCCTGCTCGACAAGTGCGAGGTCCTGAGTTCGATTCCCAGTGCCCCCCGCCCCCAAAAGCCTGGGCACTTACACTCACTTTGAAGGTCAGAGCCGGAGATTCCCACCAAAACATTTGAGCAGTAGGCGATTACCTGGCAAACGTGTTTTTTCTCTGCTTTGAGCACATAACTGGAAGAGAGTTAATAACAAGTCTTCAGATGATGGCATGAGCAAGCATCCCTTTGCTGAGCTGAAATAGCTGTACGCCGCGTCACAGATAAAAGGCACTGCTGCGTCACTGATTTCAGCTTCTGACAATTCCTTTGTTTTCGATAAAGTTTCATGAAGTTTAACAATAATTCTTTCAACATATACTTCTTCGATCAAGTAATCTAGAGGGGAAAAAAAGCCCAGAGAAAAATCAGAAAATGCTAACAGTGCATTTTTAAATACCTTACCTTTGGTTAGTAACCATGTTGGTCTTTCTATGTGGGCTTTTGTTAAGGTGCTCAAGTATTCGAAAAAATTATAGGAACAAAGCAATCTGTCCTCTGACACATAAAAGAAAGCTCTTCGGTAAAAAGGCAGGTTTAAATCAAATAAAACACAGCAGTGACTACCAAAACAAGAGCGAACAGCTTTGAATATTTAAGAGCTTTGAACACGAAACTAAAACTATGAAATATCTTCCAAGTCATACTACAACTACCAACAAATATGTAGGGTACTTATAAAATCAAGATATTTGAATGGATAAGTATTATTCTCAACCAATAATACACAAACTAGCAGCATGACTCTTCCCAAAAGGAGAAGAGGATTAGTCCCCTGCTAGAAAACAAAAGCCGTATTTTCCCTACCATTTTTAACATGTTGGGATAATACCAAGCTTAGAAGAGTCCATTGTTCTGAGAAGTAAGATTGTGAAGACACTGTGGATTCCAAGTCCTTATTACAAAGACGATCTGCCAGGGCAACCAATTTCTCTCCAAGGGTATCGCCTTTTAGCCAAGGAGCTACTAAAGCATGTTTATCTGAACTAGAACATGCCTAAAACCGTAAAATTAAAGCAAATATTAAAAGCAAGGTCAAAAAGGTTTATCTGTCTAATTATTAAACCTTATCATCTCTCTTCATCTTACGGCCCCAATTCCACCCCCTCCTCCAGGAGTCTAGGAACCTAAACTGCTATCACTACTGTTCCCCACCTAAGGCTACCTTCTGTTCAGTTTTCATGCTCTGTTAATGTACCCTCCCTCCAACTATAAAAATCCCCCTTATCAAATCCTCTCCGTTCTTTGAAAGTCAAAGCAAATCCCACCTGCTTTATGAGTCTCCCCCATCCACTACAGCCCGTAAGGATCGCTGATTTTCTCTGAATATCTAAAGCACTTACTGGATTGTATTATTATTTAAATGTTTCATCTGTGTATATCTTGTCTTTCCAATGAGACTGTAAGTTCCTTGAGAGCAGAGACTGTCTTAAACTTCTTTCATACCTATTAACACTGCAGATATGTTCAATGAAAAATGAATGGATGAACTCTGTAGATCTATGAATGCTCTACAGATATTTTTGTTCATTAATTTTGCTAAAATTAAAGAACAATTTATATATAATGGTAAATGACTTCAACATGAACAACAGGACTCGTTTCCCCCCAAGTGCTCTGCAACAGAGTGACTGGGGCTAGGACTCTGACAGCAACTGATTTATTTTCACTGGGGGTGGGGAAATGAAAAAAATCTTTCAAGTCCACCCCCAAAAGGATGTTGATCCATGTTCCCAGAGCTTCTTTTGCTTTAAGGGCTGAGAAGAAAGGAATTTGCAACTTGGTTCATCTCAAAGCAATCTGGAAAAAAAAAAATCCAAGTGCAGATTGGGTAATGCCTGAAAAACTGCTTATTCAAAATTTATAGGTAATGAGCGCTTATCTTCTAGTCCATGCTTTACTATTAAACTGGCCTTATGACCTTGGACAAATCTCTTAGCCAACCTGAGCCTATCTCCTAATTTGAAAACAAAAAAGATTAACTTCCAGAAACTCTTAAGGTCCTCTTCTGGTTCCTAAATTCAGGTTAGTTTTTCATTTATCCTTAAATAAACTACCTTTAGGACTCTGCTCATAAAGAAACATGATCAACAAAAATGCTTTAGATGGTTTTCCTTATGTAATTCACCAAACAAAACCAATCTATTCTGTAAAACCCTGGTAGAACAAATAAACTGCTGAATATTAAGTCTCCCAAGTTAGCAAGACATGAAGTCTTCCAACGCCTTAACCTCTCTACTGGGAGAATCTGTGCAGGTCTAAGGAGACGGGAAGGCTAGTGAGTCCCAGAAAGCATGGCAGTGTGGGCACTTCAAATACTGCCCAGGAAAAAGACATTCTCCCAACCTGACAAGGACAGTTACAAATTATAAGGCTGAAATGGATATATCGGTTTCCTCATCAAATTATTGATTCCCCTGCTCTGATGCTAGCCTTATTAAATGGCATCTGAAAATCTGGCTTTTCATGTAGTTTGCCTACAGGACTGAAGGCACTGGATAAACTAATGTAAATGATGTGTGCAGATGTATTTTTCATTCAATAGTAAGAAATTAGTATTCCGTATTTATTTTCACTACTAGGAGAAACGGGGAGTTACTGTTTAATGAGCACAGAGCTTCCATTTCGTAAGATGGAAAAGTTTTAGGGACTGGTTGCATAGCAATGATAATACACTTATTACATTACTGAGCTACATTTAGACATAGTTGTACTCTGGGAGGCTGAGGCAGGAGGATGGCAAATTGGAGGCTAGCTGAGATCCTTTCTCACACTAAAAAATAAAAGAAGGGTTGGACACAGAGCTCAGTGCAAAGGCTCTAGGTTCAATCCTTTGTCCCAACACACACACACACACACACACACTCACTCAGAAAGTTAGGATGGGATTAGAGCAGTGATGGCAAACTGTTCAGAGCTTTCAATAATATAAACAGCCCACTGTGGCATGCATACCATAGGTTGACCACCACTGGGACAGGGTATGGCTCAGAGGTAGAGTACTTGCCTAGCATATGAAAGGCCCCGAGTTCAATCTCCAGAAAAAAAAAAAAAAAAAAAGAAATGATTAGCATGATACATTTTATTTTATGTCACATGTTTTTCACTACAATTTTAAAACAGAAAAAAGACAAATTCAAAGGAGGGTTTTTTTTTTTTTTTTTGTTTTTTTGAGACATGGTCTAGCTATGCAGTTCAGGCTGGCCTTGAGCTCACTTTGCAGCCCAGGCTGGTCTCAAACTCGCAACGATCCTCCTGTTTCAGCCTCCCGAGTGCTGGGATTACAGGCATGTGCCACTATGCCCAGCTTGAAAAATTATCTTTATCAAATAAAAAATCATCAAAAAATGCTTCAAGAAGAGGAAGAATTGTACATAGCTAGTCATGACAATATATGCATAGTTGGAAAAATGTTAGTTATATTATTTACCTCTTAGGAAGTCATTTTTAAAAATTCTAAATTGTGTTCTTTTGGTGGAGGGGGGTTAGTGCTATTGGGTGTTGAACCAAGACCTTCTCATTGAGCCATGTCCCCAAGCCCCTTTTTCTTTTTTTTGTTTTTTTTGTTTTTTCTGGTACCAGGAACTGAACTCAGGACCTTGTGCTTGCCAGGCAGGTGCTGTGCCACTGAGCTAAATCCCCAGCACCCTCTTTTTCTTTTTTTTAAAGATGGAGCTCAGTGCCAAGGCTCTGGGTCTTGCCAAATCACTAAGTTGCCCAAATTGTGCTCAAATTTGTGATCCTCCTGTCTCAGCCTGTGAGCGCTACGATTACCATCACATCCAGCTTCACTTTCTTATTTACTCAAATAAATCACATAAACACTGGAATGTTTTAATTTGCCTGCATAGTAATAAAAGTAGAGAAAACTCAACTTCCTGATGTGTTCTAGCCAAAGCTCAAACTACTGCACTCAATTCACTTGTACAGGAGGCAACATACTAGGATGAGAATAGAAACCTACAGCCTTAATTAAGAAATAGTAAAATGCTTACTTCTCCTTGTGCTACTTGGTAGGAAAGAAACTTTACATTTTCCATAGTCAGTCCATTTTTCTCTGCTATTCAGAACAACAGAAAAAAAAGACTACAGTCTTTATCTGTATTTATCTTTATATAGTATTTATCTTTGCATATCAATGCAAAGATAAATGTCTTCTCAAATTAGGGGAAGAAAAGTTCTAATTGTAGGGAAGTTCCCTAACACAGACAACCACCTAACTGTATTCAGTGTGAGAATACAGCAATGATTTTTCTAAACCCATGAATCCAAAACAAGAAAAAAAAGACCTTAAAATACCTTTTCAATGACCTGAAGAAGAGACTGCCACTCCAGGTCATCCTGAAAGATGAGAGTTAAAATCAGTACATGAGAATGAACAGCAAAACTTACAAAATGTAAATGAAATCTCAATATAACTAATACAAAACTAAGATACTTTAGCTGATCCAATTCACCCTTTCGTTAACAACCTTGTGCCGCCTTGTTACTACTGACCCCAATCGAGAATATACTGCCTGTCTTTAAAGTGTGATTTATAGTCTAAAAGTAACCCAAAACAATCTCCCCACAGGCTTACTCCTCTCATCTCGTATTAAAATAATTTTAAAAGGTACCTCACAGCAATACCTTGGTTAGATCATCCAGCACAGCTTTCCTCTCCAAGTCACTGTCACAGCAACGGAGGGCACTATACAGAATGTCCACCAGGAAATCCGCATCCTTCCTTAGATCTTCATTTAGCCAGCCTACCAGTTTGCGGTACAAAAACTGCACTGCGGGATTTTTTTGTACAAGTTTGCTTATTTCAAGAGGTTTGGCTTTGTCAATACCCTCTTTTTCATCACCAAGGAGCATTTTAAATACTTGACTTGAAGAGAAAGAGTCAAGCAGAAGAGAAATAAACCTTAGATGCTGCTCTGACTTTTGTTCATTGACATAATTAATACTCATCTCTGCCAGAGTGCAGACTAAGTCTTCCAAAGGCTTTTTCCGTAGAGGTGACACACGATTTGAAGAACTATGATTGAGCAAAGATTCCGTCACATGTTCAGAGCCTTCCCTGTTCTCTCCTTCTGAAGATGCACATTTTTCATTCTCTTGATTCCCTTCTGGTGTCTCATCAGCAAATCTAACTTTACTAGGTTTTTTTTTATTTGACTTCAATGAGCTGTTAGGCTTCTGAAGGACTTGTAATAAGTTAGATACACCCAAGACAGATTTAACATCAGCCTCTGGCTCATTGATTTTCTTGACACAGATCTCTGACAATTTTTCCCAGAAATTTAGCAGTACATTCTCCAAACTACGAGTAGCTTTGTCACCCTTTTCCACATCTGCTTTGTCTTCCCAGGAACTTAAGGTTTCCGCTAAATGGTTAAACAGTTGCCCTTGCGGCAATCCCGGGTCTTTAAGAACTGTATCAATAAAAGGAATGAGCTGAAAGAGAAGGTAAAAAAAATATAAAAGTCATTTTCAAGAGAGAGAATTTTAAATACAATTCAAAAATCATTTTCCTACGATACGAAAAGCATTATTGATTTCATCATATCCCACCTGAATTACTTTATGATATAACTGATTGTGATCTGATTTTCTTTGCATCTCATGGTAATATCCAAGTTTTTTGCTGTCTTAATTAGCAGTGTATCTAAGACATGAGACTATCCACTATTATGAAAGACACTTAGGGCCCGCAGAATTCAGAACTCTTTTTCTTTAAGTCAAAAAAATAAGTTAATTATCTGACATCTCATCTAAAATCTGAGGTTGTATAATCTTGCCACTGCCTGGCAAGCACAAGGTCCCAAGTTCAATTCCTGGTACCAAAAAAAAAATTATATGAGAATTCTGTTGGGCTGGCAACGTAGTTCAGTGGCATAAGCACCTGCCTGGCAAGTGCAAGGTCCTGGGTTTGATTCCCAGGACCAAAAAAACAAACAAACAAGTATAATCTCACTAACTTCCTACCACAAAGGATTCCAGAACCTGGCCTCATCAATGAATCTAAAAGCCAAGTCCAAATATGCACAAAAAGAGAAACGAGTTCAAGTATTAGTAACAAGATGACTCTTGCATAATTTAATGTAATACAAAAGATCATACATCGTACCCTCCAAGTTCTGTTTAGTGCTGAATCTCTCTACAACAGTCTTTAAATCCACATACTGGACACATTTAATCAGCCCAATGCTACCTCAGTGACATTTCACTAGCAACTGACACTATAGAATTTTTACTTTTCTTGCCATAAATATATATTATTTGATTTGTAAATCACAATAATGAAATCTTTACATGGAAGGCTAACTACTAAAAATGGCCATAAGATACAATTAAGTATTCTTTTCAGTGACTGGCGCCACTGATCCGCACGATGTAAAGTACCTGGTCATTGACGAGCATCTGTTCAATCTCCTGTTCACCCAAGTGTTGTTGCATGATAAAACGTAAACATTCAAAAAAAGCGGCTACTACTGCTGAGCGCTCTGAAAAGCTGGTTTTGATTCTCTCCGTGGACAGCCTATGAAACAATAAATAAGTATGGACTACGCTTTCAGGAAGAAATAAAGACAAAGACCCTGAAAAGATATCACATGAAAAGGTATTTTAAAAATAAAACTTAAATGAAAAACAACCACCAAAGTAGATGCAACCAATGAGAACATAAGCCTAAAGATTTATGAAAAAAAGAAATTTTTAGACATGGATTCGGAAAAAATATTTTCAGCTTACAAATCAATCCACCTACAAATCTGAAAGCTAGGACATAACCAAAGGAAAAATGGTATGGTTTAAAACAGTAATCATTAACAAAATGGTATTTTTATTAATTTCAACAAATGTAGCAAAACAACTTTTAAGTAGCTAGTATAAATGCTTAACTTTAGTGAACTTTAAAAAAAATCTTACCGGCTCATGTTCTGCGTTCGGACATTTGCATTTACCAATATCTATGAGCTTTACCATATTTAATTTTATGCTGGGTACTACTACCACAAAGGCTCCAAAGTATGTAAGGAAAGGGTTCTGAGCTAGGTGCAGTCCTCAGTGCTCATAAATCCCTGCTACTCAGGAGGCTAAGGCAGGAGGATCATTTGAACTGCAGAAATTCAAGTCTAGTCTGGGAACATAGTGAGAGCAAGAAAGAAAGAAAAGACAGGGAAGGAGAGCGAAGGAGGAAAGGAGAAGGACAGAGAAGGAGGGAGGGAGGGAAGCAGGGAAAGAAGGAGGGAGGGAGAGAGGGAGGGAGGGAGGGAGGAATCTATATTTCTCCAAAAACTTTAGGAGTGTTTAATAAACAGCAAATTAATCTGAAGAAATTTCAATAGGAAAGAAAATAATGGAAATGAAAATAAAATATCTTTTGACTTGAAAATCGAGAATTTAAATTCCTTACCCTGCAACCAGAGAAGTGAGGAAATTTTTGAAGAAATCCAACTGTGGGTCTGTAATGGACTGAGGGAGTTTGCTAATAAACGGCAGAAGATAAGGATATATGACAGTAGCTAAGCCCCGACCACCTTCACGAATCATAGTTGACAGCTTAGGAAAAACACTTTTTTTTGCATTTACATGAAGCCAACAGTCCTACCCAAAGAAAAGAGGAGAACAGCAGTTAGAAGTCATGCACATACTTTCCCAGTTAAAGAGACACAAAGACACAGGCTCTCAAAAAATCACATATTTTAATCTAAAAAGGCTAAAATCTCTCACTACCATTATAACATATGTATACAGTACATGTGATAATCACATATTCCCTATGGTTACAGAATAACACTGACCAGAAATAATAATGTAAAGAACTTCTGTAAAAGCTACTATCTTAAAAAGACACCCTATACTTTCCTGTGTACATAAGATTCAGACATGCTGACTGTAACGGGACATAAACAGAAAGTAAAATAAAAACTCTGTTACTGTTACTCTGTCAGTTTAAGATTTAAACCAAGTTTATATTTAAATATTTTATGCCCACCAAAAGAACTTTCTAGTAAGTTTCAGATATAACAATCAGACGGTCTCTAAGTTTCTAAAATATACATAGGAAGACAAGTATTCCCCCACGTACCAAACGTGCCTCTGACCCACCTCAATGGTTGTGAGTGTATACAGTACAGCTTCCCAGAGAGCGGGGCAGACAATGGGGTCACTGTCGTCAATGCTAAGCAGAACAGATGGGCTCACTTTGGAAGCCTCCTCTTTCATGAGCTGTGGAATGCGCTGGCACAAAGCAGAAACTAACTCAAAATATGCTGAGCGGATCTAAAAGAAGAAACAGAAAGCTGAATTAAACGAAAACCTAGTAAAGTTTAAGATTTCTTTATGGTAGCAGCAGATAAGATTATTCATAATAACCCTCCCACTGATATAACTAAAAGAGCTACAAAAATAGTTTCTGAAATCTTAAGAATAGTGAATGGCTGAAAAGACATTAGGATCAGCCTAATGATCAAGGCAATGCCCGGGCGTGGGGACACGGGCCTGTAATCCCAGCACTCGGAGGTCTGTAAAGAGCTCAAGGCCAGCCTGGGCTACACGGTGAGTTCAAGGCCAATTTGAACTATACAGCAAGACTCTGTCTCAATCAATCAATCAATAAAATAAAATAAAACTCATATATTTGTACTAGAATTTTGGTGCCACTGTGATACTGTAGTTTTAAGAGCATTTACAAGAGGTGTTTAGATCTTAAGGGTTTCACCCTCATGAATGGGATTAGCGACTGCACAAAAAAGAACAAAGCCTGCCTTTTCTGTCCCTTTTACCAAGTGAAGACACAGCAAGAAAACACCATTCTGAAGCAGGCAGAGCAAGCCCTCACCAGACATAGTATCTGTTGGAACTTTGATATGGACTTCCCAACCTCCAGAACTGTGTGGAATAAATTCCTAATATTTATAAATTACTCAAGCCAGGTGTGGTGGCACACACCTGTAATCCCAGCACCCAGGGAATCTGAGGCAGGTTTGCCAAGAGTTCAGGCCAAGAGTTCGTTGCCAAGAGTTCAAGGCCAGCCTGGGCTACAAAGTGAGTTCAAGAGCAGCCTGAACTTCATAGCAAATTTCAGTCTAAGATATTTTGTTACAAAAACAAGGACTGAAACAAGCACATTGATACAAATAAAGAGATAAGGCAAAAGAGGTCATCCATAAAGCAACATAGAGACAAAAAGATGGAAAACATCAAAAACAGCATAAGATAGAGTAAGAAGATTTAAAATAACTTAACTGAAATCCCAAACAAAGAGAGAACACAAAGCAAAGCAAATACCTGGAGAAACAGCATAGAATTTTACAGAGCCAATCCACAGACTCAACTCCAACAAACATCAAGGGATATACAATGATACACACAAGGAAATCCACAGCAAGACACATAGGAGTATGTTATGGTTTGAGTCTAGATGTCCCCCCAAAGCCTCATGCAATCATGGTGGGGCAGGCTTTTCAAAAGAAGCTGAATCTAGAGTTTGTGCTTGATTCACGGGCCACTGCTGGGATTAAAGATGAGTGCTACACCTACATGAGGGTGGTTAGCCTGCATGCAATATAAGGGACAGAAAGAGGTTTGTCCCCTCTCTCTTTCCCTTGTTGCTTTTGCTGTCTCTGGCCCCATGAATTGTTTCTCCTCTGGGATGCCCCTTTGCCAAGCCACCCTGCCTTGGAGCCAGCCCATGGTGGACTAAAACCTCTACAAACTGTGAGCTAAATAAACCTTTCCCCCTTTAACTTTGGGCATCAGGTATTTTTTTCTCAGCAACAAGAAAAGTAACTATGACAGAGTACAACTACAAAAACACAGTGAATCTTTGCTAAAGTAGCCAGAGGTAAAAGGCAAACTACCATCCAAGGAAGGACGGTGAGACTGACTGTCAACAAATCCTTTTTAGTAGCAGGACATGGCAAAAATTAAATCAGAAGACAGTGGAACAATACCTTCCACACAAAAGTAACCATCAAAATGTAACTCTATACTCTACCTAGTAAAAATACCTTTCAAGAATGAGAGGGGCTGGGGATTTAGCTCAGCGGCAAAAAGCGCCTGCCTGGCAAGCGCAAGGTCATGAGTTCGGTTCCCGGTACCGGAGAAAAACCAAAAAAAAAAAGAATGAGAGAAAAATGTTTTTTTTTTTTTTTTTTTTGTTTTGTTTTTTGTTTTTCTCCGGTACCAGGAACCGAACTCACGACCTTGCGCTTGCCAGGCAGGCGCTTTTGCCGCTGAGCTAAATCCCCAGCCCGAGAGTAAAATGTTTTATAAAAACAAAACAAAGTAAAAAACCTGACACAAAGTAAAATTATGTAGGGCAAATGTAAATGAAAATTTAGAATAAAGAAAATGTTCTGTGAGCTTAAAAAAATACATATTTAATCCTGTAAAATACTGTATTTACTTATAAAGCAGTACAAAATCAAAGTCAGCAGTTTTTCAAATGACATCACACTTTAAAAAGGCAGCAAAATTTTAAGTTTGTGTATTAAAAACAAAGCTGAAAAGCTATGCTCATATAAACATATTAGAAAAAACAACCAAGCCGGGCGTGGTAGTGCACATCTGTAATCCCAGCAGTCGGGAGGCTGAGGTAGGAGGATCGTTGCGCGTTTGAGACCAGCCTGGGGTACAAAGTGAGCTCAAGGACAGCCTGAACTGCATACTGAGACCCTGCCTCAAAAAAGAAAGAAAAAACAACCAAAAAATACCAGTGTTCATTCATGATACAAATACTCCAAAAATTAAAACTAAAAAGAAAATGCTTAAACCTTAAAAAAATCTACAACGAACATCATGCTTGAGGTTAGGAACAAGAAATGTCTGCTATTACCACTCCTTCTCAAAGAGCACTGGATACCTACTCAATACAAAGAAACAAGGAAAAAAAGACTAGAAATGGAGCTCAACTAGCTGTAATTGCAACAATATAACAAGCTATAAATATATTAAAAATAACATAAAATCACAAAAAATAAAGTCAAAGTACTGAACAGTAGTCTGAGTTATGAGTACAAAATTAACATAAAAAGTATAGCACTCTTATCACACTGGTACAAACAAAACAGAAAATGTAATTAAAAAGACCATTTCACAGTAGCAGCAAAAAACCCTCAAGGTATATTCACTGTGGAGAATATTATAAAACATTATTCTAGGATGCAAAGGATATAAAATAGCAAAAAGAATTCTAAAAATGCACTTTCCTAGCTGAGGTCAGACAATATGATGGATGTTTTGCTTTCTTATTTTAACCCTCCTTCTATAGTAAGTACCCTTTTCACAGACTATTGACCACATTTTTCAAAATTCTTGTAGTCTTGGCTGGTGACTTCTGAGCTCTAGTGTAGCGCTCTAGCGCTGGCTATGGTATGAAAGTGCAAGAAGACTGTAACGTGCCTTGCTGAGAAAACGTGAGAGATGAGCTTCACTCAGCCACAAGCTCCAGGGTTTCTGGCCATGAAGTGAATGTTAATAACTCAAAAATGTATGTATTAAGTAAGGTGTCTTTACAAACATGTAAAACAGGGTTATGTATTGATCTAACGCAAATGTGTTGTGACCAGAGGCTCACAGAAACCTGACCCCCTATTTCTGCTAGGAACAATGTTTCCGAATTCACTAGTTCAGTGTTTCTGCTGAAGTTATAGAACATAACTACCATGAATGAAGAGAAGGCACCACACAAAATGTACACTAGAAATATTAGAATAATCACCCACCAGAAATGGAGAGCACACAGGAAACAGGGACAAGAGACAATAAGCACATTAAATAAGCTAAGAGTCTTGCATACACCAGCAATTTTAGGTGCCGTGAACAAAGGAATATAATTCAACTCTGAACCTGACACCCGAACTAAACCAAGAATTGGGGGTGTGTCTCAGTGGTAGAGCACATCCTCGGCATGGGAAGCCCTGGGTTTAAATTCCAGCAGGAAGGGGAAGAAGAGGAAGAGGGAGGAGGAAGAGGGGGAGGATGAGGAAAGGAAGAAACAGAATAACACTCCAGTAATAGAGAATATTCAGTCCTGAGTGAGCTACTTCAAGAATGTGCTTACAGGGGCTGGGGATTTAGCTCAGCGGCACAGCGCCTGCCTGGCAAGCGCAAGGTCATGAGTTCAGTTCCCGGTACCAGAAAAACACCAAAAAAAAAAAAAAATGTGCTTACAAAATTATAAATCTGAACAATAAACATAATCTAATACGATCAGGGGGACAAATTAGAAAAATATTTTAAGACATTTTAAGAACAAAAGTAGATTAAGATACCTGAGGTACACTGTGTTTTCCATACTTCCAAAATTTATTCTGTGATAACAGAGATTTAAACTTCTCTTCTAGAGAATCAAGCTCATTATCAGGTAAAAGGCAAAGCAACTTCTTTAACGCCAATAAGGAACAAGTTACAACGCGGTAGAACTTAGCTTCTCTCTCTTCCTCTGGAACAGTTCTTGATTTGAAAAGAAAATTTAAAAAAAAAAAAAAAATGTAAGGATTGAGAATAAGGCAAACAATGGTATTTAAATTTTTAAAAAATTATAGTAAAAGGCACACTGCCATTAATGTCCCTCAAAACACGCCGCTCATTTGGAACACACAACACGCAACGTCCCACTTCCTGAAGCCCCTGGGGAAGCCTTCTCCCGTGAGCATTTTTATAAGATAGATCAGGAACAGCGGATGCCGCTGGCAGAGGCCATCCAACAAAAACGCAGGCTCCTGCGGTATTATTCACCGGAACCGGCACCCGTCAACTTCCGACTCTTCTCCAAAGTCAAAGTGACCACAAGGGGCAAATGTTTTGAGTAGATTCGGGACATCAAGGCCACCACGACGGCACAACTAACGACACTCCTGCAGGGGGACTTCCGACCCACCTCGGGGAGAGGCAAGGAGGACAGGATAAATGTATGTGAGCTGAGGCAGACTATTCTGAGTGGGGTTAATGGAAATATTTTTTACTGGGATAAATTTTTTAAATACCATATTTTTCAATCATACATCATCCCTTACACGTTGTAATCATTAAACAGCTATCACCTGCTTTATTTCCATCTACTACTGTCCTTGTGGCAAACCCCCTCAAAATAAAACCACACGCAGAATTTTAACCACATATTTTACTACTAATATGAGATGAAATTAGAGGAAAAATCATGACTTAAAAGAAGTGACCAAGTGCATACCCTCAAAAGCAAGTATATCGAGACATCTCTGACTACTCACCCTTATGGGTTCTGAAAAGTTTAATTAGAAAATAATAGTAAACATAAAATATTTTACTACTCTTTCAGTAGAACTGCTTAACAGGGGATGATAGCGCACACCTGCGATCTCAGCACTTGGAAGACCCAGGCAGGAAGATTGCCACGATTTCGAGGCTGGCTTGGGCTACACAGCGAATTCAAGGCCGGCCTGCACTACATAAGGGCACCCTGACTCAAACAAAAACAAAAAAAATAACTGCTTATACATTCCTCAGCTATTTCCAACCATATGTTCCAACAGTCCCTGCTATTGCTGCCAAAAGGTAAATGCGGGAAAAATTTAAAAATCTCTCAGAAAGAACCAATGTGCGGCTCCGAGAAAATTCAAAGTAGCAAGACAACTTGTAAGCAAACACACTTAACACAGCATCTAGCACGTACAGCAGTACCGCATTGTTATTTTCAACTCTGTGTTTAGAAGTTTCTTCGTAGAATGTCACAATGAAATAATAGCTGGGTAACTACAGTGACACAATCCCTTAACATGAGTCACACAGAAACTATGTAACTTACTGTGGGTCGCTAAGGGTGTCAGGTGTTTCTTTTAGAAGATGATCCTGAAGCACCTAGAGAAGAAAAAAAAGAAGAAACACCAAAGCCTTCAGATTTTATTGAACTGTCAATGGTGAACAGCATAGTTAAGTAAAATTCATTTTTAAGAGTCCCTATAGCCGGCTGTGGTGCTGCATGCCTGAGATCCATCCCCGCACTTGGGAGGCTGAGGCAGGAGGATCGCCACAAATTTGAGGCCAGCCTGGGCTACGAAGTGAGTTCAAAGCTAGCCTGAACTACCTAGCGAGATGCTATCTCAAAAAAAAGGTCCGTATAAACCAAATCTTAACTAACAGCAAAATCAAGTAGCAAAACTGAAAGGCCTGAATTTTACCCGTTTTTCTTCTATTGGGCTATTGTTGGGGTAGGATGCACAAGGTTTTTCTTTCCCACATACCTAACTCCTATCAAAAGAAAATGTTCACTGAATACTTTCAGCTACTGATTTCTTCCTTCTTTTTTTTTCTTTTGGACAGGGTCTCACGATGTTTAGGCTAGACTTGCTGGCCACTAGTTTCCTCATTTAAATGCACTCAGCAGTGCAGTGAAATACTACAATTTGTAAATCTTTCCTCTCCCTCTCTTGGTGAGCCTCCCTGCCACTGACAACACGCGGTGCGTTCTCCATCGAAGAGGGACACACAAGGCTGTCACACACTGGGTAAGTATGCCGACTTCTAGTGCAGGGCTGCGACAGTGGAAGGCACTGCTCCAAGACCATCTTTATCCACAGTGGCCATATTTAATATTTACTGAGCTTCTCCACCTGCCAGGTACTGCTTTAACCACATTTTGTGCATAAGCTAAATTAATCCTCCTAACCAGTCTGTGAAGTGCAAGTTAATTCCTGCTTTCTAAGTGAGGAAAGGGAAGCTCAAAAACTTGCCCAAGGTCACCCACTTAAATTATGGCAAAACCCAGTGGTATGACAAATAGTCAACAGAAGTTTCCAAGGCTCAGACTTCAGACCGGGTCTGAAGAGGGGACAGACAGCCTCAGCCTGAGCCCTCAACCTCCACCTGCGGCATCTGACATTATCTCCCGGTAGAGACCATCAAAACTGAATTACATTAGAGAACACTCAGCTATGGAGGAGAAATCTCCACACACTGAGGTTACAGAAGTCTGTGCTGACTACGGTGTGCGAGTACAGAACAAAACAGTCTCGTCTCCCCCCACCCGCAATATACCTACAGTGACAGGAAAGCACTACCGTTGTAACAGGGGAAGAAAAAAAAGAGAGAATGAATCCAAACGCTTACACTTGTGATTTCATCCTTACAGAACGCTATCGCTTCAGGTTGCTTGCTTGGGGGGAAGGCTGCTTCAAAGGCATCTTTTGCAGCGCATGCAGCTGGCGTGTACGTATCACACTGAGCCATGAGCCAATATCCCATTAAACTTTTTAAATACGGAGCCAAATGTTTCTTTACTTTAAGGATAAGTTTTTCAAAAGCTTGCTGAGTGGCTTCTCGAACCCGGCGATCATGATCCTATTGAAAATGTACGTACAATTTACAAACATATACAAATACGTAAGTTTCTAGATGTGCTACAAAGACCTACTATTAAGAATTCACCTAAGAAACAAGCTAATCTAAAACCAATTTTTGAAAGGCTGGGGCATAACTCAGGGATAGGGTGCGTGGTGTGCAGACACAAGGCTCTGGATTCAACCACAGCACGCGCGCGCACACACACGCGCGCGCGCGCGCGCGCGCACACACACACACACACGGCACTTTTGAAATTTGGGGTTTTTTTATTACTTATTTTTTTTAAACATGATTTCTTTTTCTTTTTTTCTGGTACCGGAAATCGAACTCACGACCTCACACTTGCCAGGCAGATGCTGTGCCGCTGAGCTATATCCCCAGCCCCAGTTTGGGGTTTCTTAAATCAAATATTATATAAAATAATTAATTCTTCCTTTTCTCGCTTTCCCAATGATATTATGATTATATTCAATATTCAAGGCTAGATTTTGAATAATTATGCAACTAATTCTCATTCTTTTGCTGCAAATATGCAAGGAAATAAGATAATTACCAACTTTATTTTGAATGAAAAGCTTCTGGGTTAAATCTCTAGTAATCTAATTTCTTAAAATACAGACTCTGCATGTACTCTTTTCAACCCAGCACGAACCAAACTGCTTAACAATGTTGACACGACACTTCATAACCTTCATCAAAATCAGTCGTTTAATGACAGACCACATGGTTTCAACAACAACAAAAAATATACACCAAAATAAACTAATAAAGTCTTCAACTTACAAGTGAGATTTTGCAGAAAATTCTTGGCCAATAGGGAAGAACTCCTTTTACAATTTCTGTTTCTCTCTCTGTACACATGGTTCCAAATTCCTGCATAGCCTAAAAGTAAATTATTAACATCGTTAAGAGTTAATAGCCATAATTTTAGCTATGAGTTGTATTGATTTTATTTGAAAACTTTGTCTGTTTTATTTAATAAGAGAACATATTATTTATGTTTTGTGCCATGTAGGATTAACATGAGCTTTTCTAGTCTACTATAGTAGAAACTTTACAGTTTTTTAAAAAACTAAATGTATGCTCAAAAAAACCCATTCAAAATTGCAGGACTGCCAGGTATAGTGGTGCACGCCTGTAATCCCAGCACTAAGGAGGCTGAGGCAGGATTGCTGCAAGTTAGAGGCCAGCCTGGGCTACACATGGTAGTGAGTTCAAGACTAGCCAGAATTACATAGTGTGACCCTGTCTGAAAAAATCAAAAATATGGGCCAAAGATATATCTCAGAGGCGTAGTGCCTGCCTGGCAAGCGTGAGGTTGTGAGTTCGATTCCCGGTATCCAAAAAAAAAATCAAAAATAAACAGCTAATAATGAAACTCTAGGATCGAGGTTAGCACAATGGCATTCATCTTTAGTCCCAGCTACTTGGGAGACTGAGGTAGGAGTATCACCTGAGCCCAAGAGTTCCGGATCAACCCAGGAAACACACCACGACCCATCACAAAAAGTAAAAAATAAAAATTACATTCTATAATGAGAAGAACTGTACAGTCAAAATTCCAAAGTGGTTCAAAAAAGTCCCAAGTAAAATACTAATTTATAACTCAGAAAATAAGCGTAAAATAGACTTATGTGTATGTCACAGAAAAAGTGCAACTGTAAAAGCATTAACTAATGATAAATTACTGGCCATATTTCTTTACATTAAATATGCTAATGACATTTTTAACAGAAAGGTATTCTTGACCATTTTTATGAAAACGAGAAAACTTACTTTTAATTTTGTTGTGACATCTTTCTTAGAAAGTTTCCGTAGCACCATTCGGAAATCAGAATCTACAAGGTTGTCGATTTCTTCAGCTCCTTGAATGGCAGGAACATAGCCTAGTTCACTCTGAGATGTTCCAAAACCAATAAATCCAGGCACTGTTCCCTTTTCTTTGGCAAGTAGTTCTGCAGCTCGACCGCTATTTGAAGGCTAAGACAGTAGGGAGAAAAAAAAATCTGAGTCCAAGAAAAGTTCAATATTTAATTTTGCAATTCCTTGATAGTTCTTACGATCATAACAAACTTTTATTTGAGGTTTTTCCCTAACCTAAAACTTCATCTATTGCAACATTCCCCAAAGATGATAGCAATAATGCTCCTAGGAGATTTTTTTCCTACGTTCTGAAACGTGAGAACAATGTTTTTCAACTGTGGATACAATCCATTTGTGTCTCACAGTATTAGTATAATGGGCCATGGAGAAGAAACGGAATAAGTATTTTTTAAAAACCAGAATGTGTTACATATAATATTTTCTTATATTTCTGACTTTCCTGTAAATAGTGTTCATAGATATACATATTGCGTGATCACACACTGTGTGATCGTTTAAAAATAATGAGGCTGACCTTTTTCATCCATTCAACAAATACTAACCAATCACCATGGGTTAGAGCTCACGACAGGTATTTCCAGACTGAGTTCCTCCAAAACAGTCACTTTCCTTTCCACATACCCAACACCTAGCCCACCCTCTTTGGGCTAAAACTACATCAATATGGACACAACAGCCAACACAAAGGTCAAGATATAAGATATACTACTCTTTTGTTTTGAACCATGGGCAGAGGTTTGACTACTACACTATATAGCTGTCTCCTAGTTGTAAAAGAGAGCTAGTTGTTACAGAGAAAGAATATATTAGAATTACTGAAAGAAATTAACTTACCTTCTGTCATATAAGGCAGATCTTAGTTCAGTAGTGGCAAATGTATGGTGCAGGTGTTACTGTATTTTTCTTTTAAGACAAAAGATGTTAATGTAGAATTGTTTCTTCTAAACTAAAACCTCAGAGGTCAGGTTTAATTGCAGTGTTGGCACTTCATGATAAATGTGTGAGTTCTGGGTTACCGTTTGGCATTCTGTTTCTAAAAGGTTCACCATCACTGCACTAGTTCAACCATCAAGAACTCACCTACACACATCTATTTCTTATTTCCAAGAACACTTGCAAGAAGTTATCCAAATATGTCAACATAAAAACTGTTTTTGGAAACCTATTTAACAAGAAATAATCAAGCCTATTATCTAAATTGAACTAAGTAACCAATACCGAAAAGATGGCCAGAAGTACTTTTTTTTTTAAATGTGCCAGTGAAGAGTAATAATTCCAACCAGGCGTGATGACACACACCTGTAATCCCAGCACTCAGGAGGCTGAGGCAGGAGGACTGCTGCGAGTTCGAGGCCAGCCTAAACTGCACAGTGAAGCCCTGTCTCAAAAAGACCAAAAAATAAAAAAAATAAAAAAAAAAAAACCACTAGGTGACACACACCTGTAAAGGATAAACCAGGAAGATCACCGAGAGTTTGAGGCCAGCCTGGCCTACGTAGTGAGTTCAAAGCTAGATAGAACTACATAGCAAGATCCTGTCTCAAAAAAAGAGTAATTCCATAAAAGGATCTCCATTTTAAAACTTCATTAAAATGAACTAACATTACTCAGTACTGGTACCTAAATAAAAGTGCTCCAAAGGAAGTCAGTGAACTATAATACAATTCTGAAGCCTAAATATGGTGACCGTAGGAGGTAAGAACTTTATAATCTCATTTGTAAACAATTTCATGAAATAGTAAAAAAATTACTAGTTAGGCATGGTGGTGCATGTCTGTAATCCCCGCATTTGGGAGGCTGGGGAGGAGGCCTGCTGTGAGTTCGTGAGTCCGGGGACAGCCTCAGCCACATAGTGAGTTCAAGACCAGCCTGAACTACATCGCAAGACCTTGTCTCAGAAAAAGAAACAAAAGTAAAGAAACTCAAAAAACCTAATTACTACTAAAGAAGTTAAGGCAGCATTCTGAACTAGAAATTCCCAAGCTCAGGAATTACACTGTCAGCTAAAGTAATAACTAGAGGCAGAAGGAAAAGTATGGTATTTCTAGTTTCCAACTTAAAAAATAACAATCTCTTTAAATATACTAATTGTATCTTTTATTCAAGATACACTTTGAGTTTAAAATCTGCTCATCTAGCATAGTTACTATTATGATCTATTTGTAGGTTACTTATATCCACAGTTCAATAAAAATTAAGAACCCTGGTTCTATTTTGGCAGTGAATTCTTCATCATGCCTTTGTCCATGTTCTTTGCGCCTGGCTTCTACTGGTATTTGAGGTAGCAATCCGGAGTCTACAGTTGGAAGATCAAACTGAGGAATTAAAAGATCTTTCACCACCTGCCGGCCACATTTCCTAATCTGATCTACTGCCTCTCTTTCCTTACCTTGCTCTCCTCCTCTGCCTTCTCCCAATTTTGTGGCCACTGCGTGTGTGCCAGTCCCAACTGAATCCAAGGATCCTTGAGTTATGCCCTTTCATAACTTAGTCTTTGTGTGATCTTTTTCTCTCCATCTGAAAACTCTTCCTTCCTTTTCAGTACCTGACAGACTTCTACTCATCCTTCAAAACACTAGCATTTGCAACAATTGTCTCCCCAAGGTCAAGCACTGTTCTCTGCTGTGCTGCCACTCTCTCTGCTCATACCTGTACTACCATCATTTAATACATTGTAATATTTGCTTGTAAACCTGTATCCTCAAACGAATAGTTCAAGAACAGTAGGTATTTGTCTGTCATAGCAAGCAGTATTCAGTTTTCTGCTCAATGAATGACACTCTTTTTTTTTGGTTTTTGGTTTTTTTCCGGTACCGGGAATCGAACTCATGACCTTGCACTTGCCAGGCAGGTGCTGTGCCACTGAGCTAAATCCCCAGCCCTTTGAATGACACTCCTTAAAGTTCAAATCCCAGCTCTGCAACCTTCTGGCTATGTAAGCTTAGCAAAGTAACTTCTCTAAATATCAGTTTTATCTTTTTTTTTTTTTTTTTGTACAAAGAATCAAACTCAGGACTTTGTGCTTGCCAGGCAGGCACTGTGCCACTGAGCTATCCTCATTTCTCCATCATCTTTTTCACTTTTGTTTTGGTTTTGACTTTTTTGAGACATGGTCTCACTATGTAGTCCAGGCTGGCCTGTGACTCAGTGATCCTCCTGTCTCAGCCTCCTATCTTTACAAGGAGATTAGAGTAACTCATTACTTGGTCCACTCTCACTATTAAATGAGCTTTTAAGCCATAATAATAATAATAATAAATGACAGCAAGAATCATCAAAGGGTGCTAAAACCATTAGGTGAAAATTGGTGAGAATAGTATAGTTTCAGGCTACCATTCCACGTATTATTTGTTAGTAGCCAATGGACAAGCAACTTTAAAATAGACACCATCTTAATCAAGTGATTACACAGATATCACTAATAATGAGACAAACAAAAGTTATGTGTTCCTAGTATGATGCACTGGAAAAGATCCCATGATTCATAAAGCATTGCTGCCAACAATTATTTAACCTGATTTTCTAATCCTTAGGAAGCAATCAGATAAATTCAAACTAAGTAAAACCAATTGTCCCTGACTCTTCCAAGTTATACATAAAAAACACCCTCCAAGATGGGGCAAGTGTACATTGTCCAGGTCAAAGGGACCTCAATGATAGCAAAAGAGTAGAAGCGATCCTTGATTGGATGTCAAATATTCTTAAAATAAAATATCTTAAAGAATAAAAAAGATTATAGAGCATGGTGGTGCACACCTGTAATCCCAGCACTAGGGAGCCTGAGCCAGGACTGTCACAAGTTCGAGGCCAGCATGGGCTGTATAGTGAATTCAAGGACAGCCTGGACTACATAGCGAGACCCTGTCCAGAAAAAAAAAAAATTATAGAGTAATTACTGAGATGAGTACAGAAATGTGAACACAAGACTGCATATTATATGTGAGTACTACACCCGAGTTAGTTTCTGTATGTTCAGTTATTCACGATTATGAGGAAGAATGGTATCGTTTTTAGAAGATACATGCTGATGTACTTAGTAGCTGAGTCCCAATTTCTCTAAATCACATAAGGTGCAGCAAAACCCATCAATTAAAGGAGAGAAAGCAAATGTGACCAAATAGTAACAATTGGTGAGTCCAGGAAAAGACTACATAGATGTGTCCTTCCAAAATTCTTGCAACTTTAACTCATACTAAGGACTTTTCTTGCAACTTTAACTCATACTAAGGACTTTTCAAAAGTAACAAACTGAGCCCCGTGGGGTAAATTCCAGCTACTCCAAAGGCTAAGGCTGGTAGACTGCAAATTCAAGGCCAGCTTGGGCAACTTATTGAGATTTTTGCCTCAAAATTTTTAAAGTAGGGGGCTGGAGATATTAGCACAGTGTTCAAGCATTTCCCTACCATCCCAAAGCCATGGGTTCCATCTCCAGTACTGCAATAAATAGACTGATTATTGAGGCATTTTACAAAACAAAGTAAAACACTGAATAAGAATGCAAGTAAAACTCTTAGCACAGTATTTAAGGTAAGTTACTATAAATGTTTATATTATTCTCCCCCAAAACATACTGACAGAGCTACAAAAATGTGGTGCTGAAATAACTAGAACTATATGAATCAGAAATAGGAAAAATACATTCCCATAAACTTAGATTGTGCTATACCAAACCAGCAATATATTTTTATATAGCACTAGAACAGCCCATCGGATAAAAGTAGCAGATAAAAACACCTGCCTTCAAATACAACTTACTCAACTGACACAGTAAGTTACCCAGTAGAAGTCATCGATACAATGTAGTAAAAGAAAGTACGAAAGCAGAACAGGAAGTGGAGGACAGCTACAATCTAAAACGGGACGACCACGGGAGGCCTCACTGAGACGTCGTATAGAGCAGCATTTGGAGGCACCTAACAGATGCGCATCGGGAGAGCGCCACGCAAGGCCAAGGCTCAGTGGGATCCGCTTGGCTGGATGAGCAAGCGAGCGAAGAAGAAGACAGAGTTGAAGATGAGGCCGGAAAGGGCAACAAGTAGACCAGAAACCAAGCATGCCCTCTGAGAGCTCTGGCCTTCATCCCGAGGAACGCAGGGATTCACCGTCGATTTCTGGGGAAAGGAAGGACAGGATCCGAGCCACCCTGCCTACCAAGCTCGCGTGAACTCCTGCCCATCCAAGTCCTCCACCTCCCAGCCCCCTACCGCCCGCCACCGCATCCAGGTAACCTTCCGGGTGAAGCTGACCCCGAACCATCTGTTAATGAAAATCGTGGGTGTGTGCCTCCGCGGGCACAGCTCTGGCATGCAGCGTCTTTTCTCTCACGATTCCCTGCTGTGCTCAGACAGCCCATCCGCCCTGCGAGATGAGATGCACACACAACAAAGAGGTCACACTCGACGCGCGTCTCTCGGACACACTCTGGCTGAGCGCCGGCGGGGACCAGAGCTGCGAGAGGACAACCCAGGTGGCCATGCCATCCTGCACTCACCCTCAGATTCCCCTTGGTTCGTTGCTTGTTCTTCCCGCCCATGGTCTCGGTCTCGGCCGCGATCTCAGGCTGCAGCCCCCAAGTTGACACTGCCGGGCTACAGCTTCCGGCCCCTAGCGCCGGAAGGGGACTCAGTGTAACAACTTCGCCGGGCCCGCCCCTTCCGCCTCTAGCCCCGCCCTCCTGAGCCCACTTCCGTTCCCGCTTCCCGCGGCCTCCCTGACAATGCACCGCCGTAGCGTCACAATTAAAGCCACGCCTATTCGAGTGTCGTCATTTCTAGCCAATAGGAAGCCGAGCGTTGGCCCTGTGGCGCCGAATCCTGTCCTGCTGTAGCTGCGGTTCCTCGCAAAGTGGATTGGACAGAGGCTTGAGCTGTGCGTTTGTTTTCACACAAGGGTAGCAACACGGTATTTGTGACTAGGGGATGAAGTTTTAAAGGAATGCAATCATTAAGCGTTCCCTGGACACTTCTTAGGAAAATAGACCCTTGTTGCGGGGAGAATTCAGTGGTAGAGCGCTTGCCTAGCATACTCGAGATCCTGGGTTCAATCCCTAGCACTAAGAAAAAAAGAAAAAAGGAAAACAGCCTTTTGGATCCATCCCGATATCCTGAAGCAGATTCTGCCCTTTTTTGCTTGTTTGTTTTTGTCTTGTAGAGATAGTGTTTAACCATACAGCTCAGGCTGGCCTTGAACTCACTTTGTAGCCCAGGGGGGCCTTGAACTCAGTAATCCTCCTGCCTCAGCCTCCTGAGTGCTGGGATTACAGGCATGCGCCACCACGCCCGGCAGAGTCTGCATTTTAACAAGATTCCTATTCTTGTTAAAATTTTAGTACTACACCAAGCATGGTGGTGCACGCCTGTAATCACTGCACTGGGAAGGATGAGACAGAAAAATCGCAAGTTCGAGGCCAGCCTGAATTACATAGCGAGACCATGTGTTTAAAAAACGTTTTGGGGAGCCGGGGCTATAGCTCAGTGGCACAGCGCCTACCTGGCAAGCATAATAAGGTCCTGAGTTCGATTCCTGGTACCAAAAAAAAAAAATTTTTTTTTTGAGTACTAGACAATTATTCTCCCTAAACTCCCCTTTTATTCTATATCAAAAGTATTATGTGCAGGTTTAAAAAAAACAAGAAGGTAATATGGCAATTGCCATAAAAATTTGAAATGAAAGACCAACACTTTCTTTTCAAAATTTGAAAAGAAAGTGTTGTAACTTAGTGGCTGCAGCTCAGAAGCACACTGGAGCGTCATAAACATGTGTGCTGGTCATTCTGTCCTGTGCACAGTCTGTCATCAACTTCACTGTGATGGAGCTCAGTGAGCTATTCTTCATGCAGGTAACTTCCGTTTGAACTTCATCAGCAGGAAAACTACAGAAAGACTGGAAAGCAAGAGAGGGGAGAAGGGCTCAGTTCTGTTGACGTCATTCTAGTAGCAGCCCCTCACCTTGGCAGCAGCACTTGGTCTAGTCTCCATCTTTTCTCTAACAATGATAGAACTGGCCTTATTGCACACCTCTGGGGTACCCGTAGCAAGCAAGCAGTACTCTGAGCATGCTCAGTACGAGTTCCGTCAGGCCCTCCCCTGAGCTCCTAAAACAGCCGGTAGTGCCCTTCCTCAGAACCTTGGGAGCCAATGACAGGAGATTCCTTCTCTGAGCTTCAGAGGACCGGCAAGAGCCAAGCATCGCTGAACTGAAATTTTCAAAGACCTTCTCCGAGCTTCTTCGTTCTGATCATTCTGACCTGTTCTTCTTTTCCTTTCATAGCTCTACAGAAGGTAGCTTCTTCCTGTGGTGATGGACCTTTGTGTTATCTCAGTATTTTCCTTCTGCTTTTGATCAATTCTATTATCAAGCGCTTTCTCTTTGAATAACTAAAGTGCACACTCAAGGACCTGGGCTCAAAACCCTTACTCTAAGTAAATGAATAAATAAAATCATTTCTACTTTCCTAATTTGATCTTTTTGGAAAAATGCACACCAAGAGACACACTGTAGAATTCTCACTAAAACTTTGTAATAGGAAGGAAATTGTAACAACTTAATTGGAGAATGGCTAAAAGAATTATATACATTTGTATTACAGTTGGAATCCAAATCGTTCCCCAAAAGTCTCATTGTGTCGAAGGCTTGGTTTCCAGTCAACGGGATTTAAGGAACTAAATTAGTCCTTTAGTGATGACTGAAGATTCATAGCTCATCAGTGAGGTTATTGGGAGGTGGGGTTTATTGGAGGAAGTAGGTCAGAGGGGGCTTGACTTTATTTTCTCTGGCTCTTACCAGCTCTCTGTTTCCCAGCTGTCCTGAGCTGAACAGATTTCCTCCACCATGTCTTTCTGCTATGATGTTCTGCCCTGCCATAGGCCCACAAGCAATGGAGCCAGCTGACCATGGAGTGAACCCTGTGAAACCATGAACCCAAATATCCTTTACCCCTTTAAATTGTGTATGTATTTTGTCCCAGGAATGGAAAGTTGATCAATATAGTATTCTGTAGGCTTTTAGACAGAAGTTAAGAGGACTGAAGTTCATCTCTACATACATAGAAATAATTCTTTTTTTGGTACTGGGAATGGAACTCACAACCTTGCACTTGCCAGGCAGGTGCTGTGCTGCTGAGCTATATCCCCAGCCCACCTAGAAATAATTCTAAGACATATTCTTAAATAAAAAAGAAAGGAGTTATATGTACAGTAAGAAATCTTTTGCATTTTAGATCGCTACAAAACAATATTATATATGTCTTATATGGACACATGCATATCATGTAAACACAGAAAAAAATCTGCAACGATACATACCAATCTGATAATTATACTTGCTCTTTATCAAAAGAGATAGCAAGGAAAGAGACTGGGATTAGGAGTTATAATCAAAGGAAATTAGGTCTTGTTATTAAGATTTTATTTTATTCAAGAGAAGACTTTCATGTATTAATTGTGCCATTAAACTCAAATATTAACTGAGGCTTTTAAAATAATTCTAACAACATGGCTACCTAAATAACTGTATCCTCGTACCCAAGGGTTATATAATACAATGGGAAAACTGATAATTATCACTAATAATTTGAGTACCCCATATTAAAAATGCTACAGAAACAAGAGATTAATGTGTATTTTAGTAATCAGAAAGTTGTCCTGTATGACAACTTCGGCCCAAAACTTGTACAAAAGTTGGAAAAAATGAAAGGAGAAATATTTGAAACTAGAACTAAAATGGAATAGAAGCACTGAGTCAAGGATTAGTGTGGATTTTGGAAAAAAAAAAAAAACAGGCAAGAAACTGGCCTGACTTCAGGATAGAGCTATCAAGGAAAAATAGCTTTGAAGGATAGGTCAGGGCAATGATCTGGGCCTTTTTATTAATTAGTTCCTAAATTTTGCCTGTTCTTGCACAGAAATATCACATAATTATTTTCCTTCTATTCCAGCAACACTGCCTACCTTTCACAGTGTTGGACCCTTCTTCTTCTTCTTTTTTTTGAGACAAGGTTTTGCTATGCAGTTCAGACTGGCTTTGAACTCACATTGTAGCCCAGGCTAGCCTTCAACTTGCAGCAATCCTCCTGCCTCAGCCTCCTGAGTGCTGAGGTTACAAGCATGCACCACCATGCCCGGCTGGACCCATGTCTCTTGATACAGTCCATCAGTTACTCCCAACCACACAAATCTTTTTCAGTCTTCTTAGAGAACAGTTCTACAACTGCTTTGCACATTTGGAAATAGTATTGGTTAGGGATCAGGGCTATATCTTAGCTTCAATTCTGGGTACAAAAAATTATGTAGTGTTGGTTATTTAACATATTTAACTCATACTCGTGTTTTTACCCTCTAAAGGAGAGACAGTTTTAAACCAATGCACCCTAAACATAATGCCTGCCAAAGTAAATACTCAAAAATTAGTTTGAATTGATTTATACGAGGGTTCAGAAATCACAACTGTTCATATCAGTACATCAGGTGATACAAAGAAAAAAGATTTCTGGACAGAAGAACATTAAAATGTTTAGTTTTGTCAAAATGTAAATGTTTTATGTAAAGAAATGTCAGTACTTTTATGGTAAAGATTTGAAACTCTTGTCTTCTTCATTCATGATTATTATAATCTCAATTTCGTAGATCAACAGTTTTGCAACAGAATTATAAATTTTTCTCCCTAAGAAAATATTGTGAATGTCTTACAAAAGAAGTCTGATGTCAGCTAGGTGTGATGGCGCACACCTGTAATCCCAGCACTCAGGAGCAGGAGGATCACTGTGAATTTGAGGCCAGCCTGGGCTACATAAAGAGAAGTCTGACCTTAAAATAATCTTACCTAAGTTTCTGAGGGTGGAAATCAAACATTCAGTAGTTACGAATATATTCTGCATTCTACCTTCTGGTTATTAAACCTCCATACCAGAGGGTGTTTGAAAATCATAACCACATCCTATGGCATTTAGAAATACCTAACCTGTCTGAAATTTATGAGACTTCCTCTGAGTCCATTCACATAAACTTTTCTCTGGGCATGATGGTCTGTAGTGGATTGATAACTGGTGGTCAACTTATAACCCCAGCTGAACTGAGTGAGTGGTGCCGGGTATGGGAGGCCCACCTGAGGACTGTTGCCAGCAGCATAAGAGGCAGACCTGGAGAAGAAGAAGCAAGGCTGTTGGGAGCTGAGAGAGGCTGTGGAGAGCTGGCTTTCCGATGAACTTGGCTGTTTTCATCCTCTGAGGAGCTCGGGACCTCACTGGCACTGAGAATGGCTTCAGTTCACTTTGGGGAGCTCTGGTCCTCACTTTGAGCATAGCTTCCTGGTTCCGGAGGGGAACATGGTGCACTGCCAGCCTCCTGGAAAAGCTTGCTGCATTGGCTTCCCTGATGGGAACTCGGCCATCCTGGTCATCGGAGGAGCTCGCGACCTCACTGTTGCCAATGATGGCTGTGGTACCTTTTGGGGGAGCCCTGGTTCTTCTGAGCATCACTTCCTGGCTCCAGTGCAGATCCCTCAGCCCGCTAGCACAGGTCCTTCATCCTGCTGGCACAGACTTTGTAGATTCCATCACTGACCTTTGGGCCTTTCCAGCAGATCCATGAAACAGGTCTGCATGAGACATTGTCATGGGTTCTGGGCCTCCAGTTGGATTCATGGAGGCATTGTTATGAGCTCTGGGTATTTACCTCAACTCATGCAGGACATTGTTGTGGGATCCAGGCCCTC